CCATCCTTGTTCTCTCTCTCCTCTGCTAGGTTTGCTTGACGGCCTAGCTAATCACCCTCGTCTCAGAACAACCCTCGACGGCGACAAACTCGACGACAAACTACATCTCAACCCGCACTCGTTCAATACAACACACAGTTCGACAGGGAAATAAATTGCTTCCACTCCACGTCACGTCACCCACATCGACTATACGAAGCTCTACTCACCTGCTACTCTGCTACTCGAAATACTCGAAACATCACCGAATATCGACGACACAACTGCGCCTTCAACTCTCCCAAGTGCATTGGCTGGAACCTTCCGTTGTTCGGACTTTGCCCGGGGTCCTTAACCGTCCGGCACATGTTTAGCTCAAGGCTCCTCGCATCCGACAGCCATGGCATCGCAGAGTAGCCGACCCATGCGATCAAGCCTGCAGGTAGCCCCCTTGGCCATACAAAAGACCGACTCGACAAACGAACCATATAACGACAATGGGTCCGACGCAGGCTCGACCCTCGCATCTACCCGCCGCGGCTCTACCCAATCCGAAATGACGTCGCAAAGCGAGAATCTTATCGATGCCCCTCCCATCTTCCACAACTTCCTCCAGGCTGTTTACCCTTTTCACCCCGAGTATGCCATGGCAGACTCGGCCGTCACCCTGCCACTCAAGGAAAAGGACATTGTCTTGGTGCATTCAGTGCACACTAACGGCTGGGCTGATGGCACTCTGTTGAAAGATGGCACTAGGGGATGGCTTCCGACTAACTACTGTGTTCCCTACAACCCAGAAGAGATGAGGATACTTCTCGGAGCCCTGGTCAATTTCTGGGATCTCATGCGAAGTGCATGCATAGATGACCGGGAAATGTTTGATGGCAATAAGTTCATGAAGGGCATTGTTGGCGGTGTGCGATTCTTGCTGGTACGTTTTTTGTTAACTCATATTTTGCTCTCCCCAGCTAATACTTTGACAGGAGCACACTGGCTGTCTGCAGAAAGACTCCTCAATCCTAACAAGACACATTGAGCTCAAGGAGAGCCGAAAATTGATCAATGACGAACTTAGAGCGTTGGCCCAAACGGGCAGGAGATTGGACAGAAAGCTCAAAGCTTCGCACAGGCTGCTTCGCGCAACAGAACACCAGATTAATGAACTGATGCATGACCTGATTCTAAGAGCTTTCAAAATTGTCCGCAGGGCGGCCGAATTCTTCGACATGATTCAAAACGACAAGTCCCTCAGACTAACATCAGTAATGATCATGGAGACCGTTATGGAAGAGGAAGACCTAACGCCAACCACCGATCCTGCGGTACTGGCCAGATCCAGCGATGCCATTGATGCACGCTCCCGTGTCGACAGCAACGGAAGCGCAGCCGGGCCGTCGCCATCAGAAACAAGCAAGGCCCCCACAAACGGCCGTTTGTCCCCCGCCTATCAACCGAGTACAAATGCGAACCGGTTGTCTCATGGGAACTCTCTGGAAATTGCCAACCGTATCTCGTCCGCAACCATCTGTCACCGTGTCAGTCTGGCTGGCCCTTCGCCACTCTCACAAGCTCACAACCTCGTCTCCGAACGTCTCACGAAAAGCCAAGATATCCTCGTCTCTCACCTTGCTTGCTTGATGGGCCGTCTGCAATTGGAATTTGTATCCCGTCCTCAGCTAGCTCTCGGTGTCAAGCAAGCCATCACAACTGGTGGGGATTTTCTGCTGGTGATTGACGTTGTCTCTGCGCGAAACTCCCTCAGCATCGAGACATTGGCTCCGCTTCGTGCTGTAATGTACGACCGCATCCAAGACCTTTACCAAACAGCACGCGAAGTCCTCATTAATAACATGGAAGATGCCATTGTTCTTCCTAAGGAAGGCCGCCGCTTGCACGTTGCCGCTGTGGGTTGTGTCAAACTCTCCGGGACATGCTACGACAAGACGAAGTGGGTTATTGGACAGATTGGCGATTTCGAGTTCGAGTTCGAGGACAACAGTCTTGATTTGGGCTTTGATCTTTCTGCTTTTGACGCTGTTCTGGACGCGAAGGATACTTATGCTGCAGACTCGGTCAGCATTGCCGATTCTAACATGTCGGAGGCGTTGACTATGTCGACAACCGTCACAACCGCCTCTACGCCCGCTCCAAGGCCAGCAAATTTGGAGCTCAACAAGCCACTCCCTGATGTTCCGCTTGTTTCGACTCCAGTTGTGGAAACGTCACAGGAGGCCATCGAAGACTCGGCATCTGCTGAGAACACCTCACCAGTATCTTCTCTCCGTCCGTCGCTACCTCCTCTGTCCAAGCTCTCTACTGAGATCCCGCCTGCACAGGACTACAGCCCTACTAGTACCGAGGGATCCGCCACCCAAGATGCCGAGTTCCATTCTTTCAGGGCCGAGAGCATGACTGCCTCAAGTTCCGCATCCGCTACTACTTATATCAGCCGGACATCGGAGTCAAGCATGGTCTCACAGACATCCACTCGGGCCACGACCCCGGATCTCACCCATGCTCCCAGGGACCGTTATCCTTCGGTATCTGAACTGAGCCTGTCCGACAGCACAACAGTCAGTGAAGAGAGCGACGATGCCGAGTCTAAGCTACTCGAGAAGACGTATGCTCATGAGCTGATTTTCAACAAGGAAGGCCAAGTGACTGGAGGTTCCCTTCCGGCGTTGGTTGAGCGTCTCACTACTCATGAGTCGACTCCTGACGCCATGTCTGTGTCCACATTCTACCTCACCTTCCGCTTGTTCTGCACGCCACTCAAGCTTGCTGAGGCCCTGATTGACCGCTTCAACTACGTCGGAGAGGCTCCTCATGTCGCTGCCCCTGTTAGGCTTAGGACGTACAATGTTTTCAAGAACTGGATGGAGTCGCATTGGCAGGAAGAAACTGACACGGAAGCACTGCCTGTGATTAAGAACTTTGCCGAGTCCAGACTCAAAGAGGTTTTGCCTTCTGCTGGAAAGCGACTGCTTGACCTCGCTGAGAAGGTGGTTAACAGCGACGGCACTCTTGTGCCCCGTCTGGTCTCCTCCATCTCCAAGACCAGCACTTCTGGCTCTCAATTTATTCCCGCTGAGACTCCTCTCCCTTCGCCCAATCTCTCGAGGGGTCAAGTGCAGGCACTCGCCAACTGGAAGGCTGGTGGCGTCTCCCCTTCCATCATGGATTTTGATGCGCTTGAGATCGTTCGCCAAATTACCATCAAGCAGATTGGTCTCTTCTGTTCCATCACTCCCACTGAGCTTCTCGGCTCTAAGTGGACCAAGAACAAGGGTGTTGGCGCACCCAATGTCAAGGCCATGTCTGCTTTCACTACTGGACTGTCCAACCTCGTGGTGGACACTATCCTCCAATTCGATGAGATTAAGAAGCGAGCCACCGCCATCAAGCACTGGATCAAGATCGGCAGCCAGTTTCTTGCCCTGAACAACTACGACGGTCTGATGGCCGTCACCTGCGCCTTGAACGACTCCAGCATCAAGCGCCTGCGGATGACGTGGGACAGCATCAGCTCCAGGCGCAAGGAGACGCTCAAGTCTCTGCAGGCCATCGTCGAGATCAGCCAAAACCACAAGGCCCTCCGCGCTCGGCTTGCCGACCAGGTCCCTCCCTGCCTTCCATACGTCGGCATGTTCCTGACCGATCTCACCTTTGTTGATGCGGGCAACCCCGCCAAGAAGACGACTGACACCGGCCTGACGGTTATCAACTTCGACAAGCACATGAAGACGGCCAAATGCATCGGCGAGCTGCAGCGGTTCCAGATCCCCTACCGCCTCACCGAAGTTCCGGACTTCCAGGAATGGCTCCTCTCGCAGATTGAGAGGGCGCGAGAGATTGAAAAGACGGATAAGACGCCTGCTCAGGTGTTGCACTACCGTCAGAGTCTGCTGCTGGAACCGAAGGAGGTTCAGCAGCACTTGCGGACTCAGATGGAGGTCGCATCCTCGGGTTCCAATATGTTCTCGTGGATCAGGAATAACCATTCTACTCATGGCTTGCCTACCTCCGCTCAAGTCTAGTGCACTTTATATGAACAATGTTCATCATCGGCGTCGGACGCCAGCGATGCACAGCCACAGCCGTGCTGTATACCGGTTTCGTGAGGTGGTGTCATTATCTTGGCCGACCACCCACATTTTTTGTTATCTTTTCTCTTGATACCCATCTGTTTGTTTTGTTTGTTTATGGCGTTATGGCATATGAGTAGTACCTACGCGAGGTTTACCATCCTGTCCTTATCGAGGTTGGGGAGCTCAACTATACATCAGCACGAGCTCACCATGGCTCATCATCATAACTCGTACACTTAATCGCCGACTCGCTGTCGCGTCATCGCAGCTTTGCCTGAACATGGGCCCTCGATGCTGCTTTTCGCTTTGTTGATCATTTTTATTTTGTTGCTTTCAGGATCATTGGCGCCTTACTAGGTTGGATTGGATGGGTCTTTTGCTGATTTTTTGGTATGAAGTGGGAAAAGTGTCAAGGCATTACGGGTCAACAGGACAAAAGGGAGTTTGGGCGGTTTTCATATTCATTATATCGCGATTGATGAACAAACACCCGCTTCGCGGGTTGTCGGATGGCTATGTCTTATTTGTTTGCTGGGGAAAACAGCTTTGCTCAGTGCAAGCAGCTAGCCGGGATGCATCAGGAGTCGATGAGAGACAAGCATGGGGAAAGTCATGATGTTATGAGATGCAGCCCTTTGGGCGAAGAAATGGAGAGATGATGCCCCTGTTGAGGAGTATAAACAAGTCCAGTAGTGCCAGCAGCCTGTGAGACCGGCGAGCGTGCAGCAGAGCAAGTAAAGATACCATTACCACCTACCTGTTTGTATCATCAGTGTCTGATCGTGGTGATTTGTGTCTTGATTGAGTAAAATGAGCCTGGTAGGTAAATGGGTCAACGGTGATTGGAAGTGACGATGGCTGTGTCAAGTTGACCATATCGCAAGGCTGACATGGAGGTTGAACCTCGGGACCAACATCAACCCATCAAGAATGTCGAACGAACAAGATCTCTAATTAGTATTTCCAAAACAGGCATCGCTAATAACATGATTACATGACCACCAACCAAATGATACCCACACCCTCACCTCAACCGACTCGGCCTCGACCGCCTTCGATAATCCTCCACATCCCCCCATTCCAACCCGCCTCCCTCCCCCCTCGTGTCAACCACCTTCTTCTTCCTCGGCCAGTCCGGACAGATATCAATCCTTTCCCTAGGGAAAACCAGCTCCAAAAACAAGAAAATCAAATAATCGATAATCACACACACACAGAAAAGTTTGCCCGCCCACACTCCACACCCATAATACCTTTTGAGTCGATCAATCAGCGCAAAACTCTGCACCCCGCTCCTCATCCCCCGCGTGGCCGTCACCGCCGTCCACCCGTTACTCCCGTTTCGGTCTTTCAGGTGGTCGTACCCGTAGAATTCCGCTTCGGAAATGGCTCCGCTGATGCCGTTGTACACGCGCTCGGTGCGTTCCGCGACGTTGGTCCAAGAGTACATGTTTTTAACTTGTTCGTGGAATAATTCTGTTCGCACTTCGTTGCGCCGCAACGCAGCGATGGCTTTCCCCGTGGCGGCGACTAGGTCGTCTTCCTCCGGTTTGGCAAACACGGTCATGTGCCCCGGCAGGACTTCGGGGATACCGCCCACTTGCGTGCAGACGACATATAACCCGCAGCTCGCAGCCTCGACGATGACGGTGCCAAAGGCTTCGGTTAGAGAGGGGTGCAGGTAAATGTGGCCCCGAACCATGACGTCGCGCACCTCGGAGTGCCTGACCGGACCGAGCATTTCTACCCGGTCTTGCAACACGTTTTGCTCAATCATTTGCTCGAGGTCGATCGATTTGGGGCCGGAGCCGGCGATGATGAAGCGCGTGTTGGGGTGCGCGGCCAAGATACGCGGGATCGCGGCGGTGAGCAGGTCGGTGCCTTTGTTGTAGAAGAGGCGGGAGATTACTACTATTGTTATGGGATCGTGCGGGCCCAGGATGCGGCGCGGGGGGGTTAGGGAGGAAGAGGGATGGGGTGGGGGGAGGCCCATGGGGGTGGGAATGGAGATGGATGAGGGAGGGGTGGAGGAGGGATAGCCTAGGGGTCGAAAGTTCTCGGCGACGACGGCGTTGGGGATTACGGAGACCATTAGGGGGTCGAGGGAGGCGCGCAGGACGGTGTTTTCTTTGCTGGATAACAGTTAGTAAATAGGTTGAAAGGTAGGGAGGGGGTTGAGAGAAGACTTACCAAGTATGAGAAACACAGATAACATGGTCCACATCGCTCAAGGCAAACTTAAGCAGCTTGTTGGTAAGGATACTCGCCGCATCCGCAAACCCAAACAGACTATGATCCGTAAACACGGTCCTCAGTCCCATCGTCCTAGCATGCAAAATCGCCTCATGGCACAGACTTGACAAAGAAGCATGTCCATGAACGATATCGATTCTTTCCCTCAGCACAATATTCCGGAAAACGGGGAAGAACGAGAAGACAGTCGGGAAGGTGGCGCTCCGGTAGATGACGAGAAACGGTACATGATAAACTTTCAGCCCGTTGGTTAAATAGCGAACGCCCGTTCGGCCTTCGTAGGCGTGCGTGATGATGATTACTTTGTGCCCGCGGTCGATCAGCTTGGTGGAGAGTTGGTAGATGTGCGATTCGATGCCGCCGGGTTGGGGGAAGAAGAAGTCGCAGACCATGGCGATGCGGTAGGTGGGCGCCATGATGGGTGTTGTATGGGTCACATTTGTGCCCCTTGGTTGTTGTCGTTGGTAGGTATTAGATATGACTTTGTGGTGGTGGTGGTATATGGTTCATGTTGAGAACTCTTGAAATGAGTGAGGAGAGTTGCCCCTGCAATGAGAGGAGTGAACACTAAAGTGTAAACAGACGACGAGACGTCCCATGTCTTGGCAGCCGTGGACCGCCAAGGTGCGCATTCCAGGGGTAAGTGATGTTGGAGGATCCACTGATAACGATAAGCAGGGGCCTAGACGGGCGGTAAGACTTGGCAATTGGAGATCCCCAGAAAAAAGTTGGGACCCACTTTAGTGATGGAGCTCCGTCATTCGTTGTTTTGTTTCGAGCTTTCCATCTTCTTTTGTTACTAAACAAACAAAAGGTACGTTGAAATCTTGCCCACCAAGTCAATTGATCACCGACAGTAATTGACATTCATAGACACCATGTACAACAGATACATTCCCCCACCCAAGCCAGCGGGCGGTGCGGCCCCCGTGTCGCAACCAGTGTCACAAGCGCCGGCGCAACCAGCACGAATTGTCTTTGGCGACGATGACTTTGTCGCGAACAACCAACAAAAGGCCGCCGTCGAGGAACCAGTACAACAAGTAGAGGAACCCAAGTCAAAGTCGAAAAAGTCCAAGAAGCAACGCGACACCGACGATGCTGAAGAGCCCCCACGAAAGAAGACCAAGACCGACGACGACGACAATGACGAGCAACAAGTCGAACAGAAAGACGAGACCGAAGCGCAGCCAGATACATCCATAAAGAAAGAACCCAAGAAGCCAAAGAGGGAAAAGAAAAAGAAGGAAAGCGTCCTCGAAAAGCCCGCCGAGCTCGAAGATGACCACATCCGCCAACGCCATCGCTCCGTCTTCGAAAAAGTCGAGAAGGCTCTCAAATTGAAGGAACTACAGGGCGACGAAAAGGAAGACACGCCAGAACCAGAAGAACCCGTTTACGACCTCGGTCCCCTCCCCCAGCCCGCCCCCGTCGTCGTCGACTCTTCCAAACTCACCTACGAAACGCTGCCCCCCTGGCTCGCCAACCCCATCCGCGTCACCACCGACACCAGGAAAGCTTTTCCAGACCTGGGCATCTCCGCCGAGGCAGCGAAGATTTTGGCTACGAAGGGATTCAAAGACGCCTTTGCCGTACAGACAGCTGCCCTTCCTTTGCTGTTGCCTAACCCGGATCTTCAGGGTGATGTGGTGGTGGCTGCGCCTACTGGTTCGGGAAAGACGCTGGCGTATGTGTTGCCGATGGTGCAGGATATTGCGCTGAGCCAGACGACCAAGCTCAGGGGAGTGATTGTTTTGCCGACGAGAGATTTGGTGCAGCAAGTCCAGGCGGCGTGTGAGGCGTGTGCCGCGGCTTTTGCGGGGAGTAATGACGGGAAGAGGGTGAAGGTGGGTACGGCGATGGGAAACCGGCCGTTTAAGGAGGAGCAGGCGGTTATTATGGGGACGGAGCAAAAGTACGATCCCAAGGGTTACCAGAAGTGGTTGGAGAGGCAGAAGCAGTTGGTGGATCTGGACGGGGATAGCGAGGAGGAGGAGGAGGATCTCGAGCTGGAGCTGAAGCGGCCATTGCCGTATCATGTCAATCAGCATGTGCCCAAGGTCGATATCCTCATCTGCACGCCGGGTCGTCTGGTGGAGCACATCACCAAAACCAAGGGCTTCACGCTCGACTACGTCCGGTGGTTGGTGGTCGACGAAGCTGACAAGCTCCTTGCACAAGACTTCCAGCAGTGGTTTGATGTGGTGAACGAGAAGTTGGCTGTCAGCAAGCCGGGTGCGAGGGACTTTGCGGCGAACAACAAGACGGGACCGAGGAAGGTGATTTTGTCAGCGACAATGACGAGGGACATCACGCTGTTGAACGGGCTGAAGCTCTCGAGGCCAAAGTTGGTGGTGTTGGAGGGTGCAAAGGCTGGTGATCTGGCGATCCCTGCCACGCTTAAGGAATACGCGATCAAGATTGCCGAGCCAAGTCTTAAGCCGTTGTATCTGGTGGATCTGTTACAGAGCAAGTACCTGGTTCCTGTCAACGGCGAGGACGTCGCTGCTGGGTCAGAATCATCCAGCTCCGACTCGTCCGATTCCGACTCCAGTTCCTCCGACTCCGACTCCTCGTCAGACTCCGACTCCGACGCCGAGCCCACAACAAGGAAGGCCAAGTCTATGTCCAAGCCCACCACATCAAAGGCAGCCTTCCCCACCACCGCCCTCATCTTCACCGCCTCCAACCAATCCGCCCTCCGCCTCTCACGCCTGCTCTCCCTCCTCCTCCCCTCCCTCGTCCCACTAATCGGCACCCTAACCTCCTCCACCAAGACCTCCGTCCGCCTGCGCACACTGCGCGCCTTCACCTCCGGCAAACTTCGCATCCTCGTCGCCTCCGACTTGGTATCCCGCGGTATCGATCTTTCCAATCTCGACCACGTAATCAACTACGACCTCCCCCTTTCCGAGACGTCGTACGTGCACAGGGTAGGACGCACAGCCAGAGCCGGGAGGGAAGGCAAAGCGTGGACGCTGGTGGAGTGGGCGGAGGCGAGAAGGTTCTGGAGGGAGTTTGTGGGTGAGGGGCAAGGGGCGGTTTGTAATGTGAAGAGGGCGGAGGGAAGGACGGTGGAGAGGGTGAGGGTTACTGAGGGGATGGAAGAGGGGGAGAAGAAGAAGAATGGTGGGTTTAGTGAGGAGAGGGTGAAGGAGTTGGAGAAGGCGTTGGAGATGTTGAGGGTTGAGGCGACGAAGAGGGGGTGAGGGGGTGGTTGAGGAGGGGGTTTTGGAGTGGTAGAGGTGTTGTTATAAGGAGGAACTGTGCATAATGTACATGGCGAAAATCTCTTGTCGTCGCCGTCCGCTCAAAGCTGGTACTAACAGGTGTAAAGAAATGAAACGCAAAGCTTCAATACCATCTCATCAGTGCTACTAGATGCCGTTTTTTTTCGATAACCCGAGCTACTGCCTCATCGACCACATTATCAGATTCCAGACTAGCCTCACCTCCTCGAACCCTATTTTCCCACAACCAGGTCCTCAGTTCCCATCAGCCCACGGATCAGCAACATGAATGCCACTCGGCTGAACCCTAGAATTAGCACTTCCATACCCGCTCCCTCCCCTTCTCACACCATCCGGCCTGCTCTCCTCATCACTCCCTCCCCTCTCTACATCCCTTTCCTCTCCATCTCCATCTTCATCTTCATCATCAACCTCCTCAATACCAACATGACCCTCTCCATGTCCCGCACCAAGCAACGGCCGTCTCTGCGCTCCCCCGTCTTCCAATCCACGATAAGTATCCTCCTCATCCCCATGTGGCACCCCGAAGCTTTGGAGGAGTTTATTCCACCAGCTGTTGTTGTTGTTTCCGTTGCCTGCAGTACTTCCCTCACCATTAACCATCCCACTCCCCCTTCCCCCAGCCCCCGTCCTCGCTCTCGCTCTCGCCCTCCCAGCGGCCCTCGCCTTCATCCACCTCCCCACCCCCCACCCTACAATCTGCAGCAACATAACCCCCGCAACCACCCCAATTTCTCCCCCCATCGCCCCCCTAAACTCCCCCTCCCACGCCTTCGCACACCCCTCTTTCCTCTCAGGCCACATCGTCCCACATTGCTCCGTCCCCTTCCCCCCTCCGCCGGGTTGTCCATTCCTCCCACTAGGAAAAGGCCAACTCATATGCTTCGGATTCCTGAACCCGCAACACTGCAACGCGTCTTGGATCTTGCGGATGGAATCGGCGTCGTGGCTCCGGAAGAAGTGAGACCAGGTTTGTTCGAGGGCGCATTGTTCTATGCTTCCGAGGCCGGAACTAGGGAAAGAGGAGAAGGGGGCGGAGGTGAGGGAGGAGGTGGCGAGGGTGAGGAGGATGAGGGAGAGGGTTAGTTGGGTTGTTTGGAGGGTTTGGGATAAGCTTGGGAGGAGGGATCTGAGGGTTGGATTTTTTGGACTTGGACTGGAAGGATGCAGCGGGCGACGGGCGTGAGGGCGGAGTCCGTGAGGAGTTACTTGGAGTTGTTGGTGCGGGTTGGAGGGGTTGGGGGTTATGGTTGAGGAGGAGTGGGCGGTTATTAGCTTTGGCCGGTTTTGTTGGTTGGGACTGGTGGTGGTTGAGACGCGGTAGAGGTAGGCGGTGTTGAAAGCGGAGAGGAGGGGGAGGAGGATGGTGAGAAGGGTTAGACCGGGGGAAATGGGGAGGGAGAGGGATTGGGCGTGGATGTGTTCGTATATGGCGAAGGCGATGAGGATGAGGATGATCTGCGAGGGGGGTTAGTTAGCCTACTTGGCAACAATGTAAATGGCAGGAAGTCGGAGTCTGATGGCATACCAGGGTGTAGATCAAGCCTAGGGTAATCATGGTTGTGGTTATGTGCCCCAAAGCACGATTGTGTTGGTCCAAGTTGATGTTGAAGCGATACTAGATGTGCTTGGAATGGGCTGATCGACAAGGTGAAGTTGAAAGAGGAGAGTGACAGATGCAATGTGGTGTTTGAGCACGGCCCAACGCGCCGCTTTATATGTCCAATTGTGTGACGTTGACGCGCGGGCTGTCGCAGGCGGCCATGCAGGAGGCCTACACCGGACCCCTCACTGGCTGTTTGCTTGATGCCAATGAAGCAAATGTGCAGAAATCGAAAAGAATATTGACGAATTTGATGATGTTGTTAATTCAATGCGCTGATCATCGAGGTTTATCCGCCTAGAAATGCAATCCCTCAGCTCCTTGCCATGAACACAATGCAAATAATACTATACACACCCGAATCGTACACATCTTGCGTTCTCACCTCAAAGGCATTACGACCCCCAATAACATCAAAAGGCTAAAGCACTGCAACCCTTCGATCCTCCAAGACGCCCATCCCATAATCTACGTCTTTTCCCTACCCCAACGCGCTCGCTGTCGCTCTCACACTAATCTCATTTGCTCGCATGTACCCGTGTTCCGCAAAGACAACATAACAAGCCCACCGTGACCTCCCTAAGCCTCCTCCTCGCCGTAATGGCCGACCGGCATGCTAAGATCGATCTGTAGCTCATCACGGAAGAGTTGGTTGATGGTCGAGTTGTCTCGCAGATACACCCACTCGCCCTTGGCCGTACCCTCCTTTTCGTTCTGGCCATCACCTAACGCCACATAGTCGTAGCGCTTGGGACCGGATTTGGGCGAAGACAGCCAGATCTGCTTGTTGGGCGGTTGCTTGTTGATGACGTAGGTGCCGATGCCGTCGTCGAACGAGACTGTGAGGACGCCGGCCTGCAGAGCGTCAGAATCTCTGACAGCTATACGAATGATAGAATGACATACCGAGTACTCGACGTCAATGTCCTCCCTCTCGTCCTGGAGTTCTTCGAGGTGGGTGACGAGTCTGTCCATGTACAGATCGGCGAGCTTGTGGTACTCGTCATCGGTCAACTCGGTGGCAGCGCGGACAACACTGGGAGCGGCATCTTCCTTGGGCTGGACGGGCTGTTTGTCGGGAGTGATCATGTTGCCATTGGGGCCGGCGGTTGAGAAGAAGCGAGGGACTGTCGTTCTTGGGAGTACTGAGGCCGCGGCGAATGGGGTGGGGGTGATGCGGGTGTTGCGGACGGTTTGCAGAGAGCGCGAAGTTGCGCGCGCAACCTTGGTGACAATGGTACGCGGCATGATGACTGTTTGTGGTATTGATGTTGTTGAGAGAGTTCAAGTTGGAAGATTTGCGACTGGCGCAGTTGAGTGTTGAGAGAGACAGAGAGAGAGTTGAAGCTGAAAAAAGCTCAACGGCGTGTCCCGTGGTAGTTGAGATGAACGAGTGAGTCACGGGACAGAACACAAGATTACGACGGAAGATCAGGAATGACGAGATGAGAACCGTAAAGGAAAGATAGAGTTTCACTTTCAGTTGCAACTTCCTCGGCGGGATGAATGAATTCTAATCGAACCATCAAGTCCCTTATCGTCCCGAGCTCGACGCTATCGTGCCATTGATGCCCCACTCTGAGAGCTTCCCCAGCCAGCATGAGTTAGTGCAGTGGTACAGAGGGATATGCGGCACTAGCAAAACCACGCGTTGATGCAGGTACCCTCTTAACGCTTGCCCCCAGGCATTTGCTGCCGTCTGCTAGGCGCGTGCCTCTGCGGATTGGGCGGGTACAGCCGCACGTCATCGCACCCCACCACACTTGATCGGCCGAGTCCAGATTGACATCCACTTTCCCTCCCGCACTGCAGCGACTGCCGCCAAGTGCAAGTGTCCAACGAGGTTCTCAATATTTCCTCTTTCAAGTCACTGTCTGTCTTGAAGCGCGTCGTTGTTCTTCAACACCGTCGCAGTCGCAAACTGTCACCGCGCCCACCATGATCAACGCATTCCTCGTCTTCAACGGCCAAGGCCAACCACGCCTCACCAAATTCTACACCCAGCTTGTACGTCCCTCCCTTCCCCTACCCGTCTTCCCATCGGTTACCCTTCCCGATCGTCGCGACCACTAACACCCCACTCCCCATTCACAGGACACATCAATCCAACAACGACTCATCTCCGAAATCTTCACCCTCGTCGCCAACCGTCCAAAGGGCTCCTGCAACTTCCTTCCCCTCCCGCCCCTCCTCGCCGCCTCCAGCACCTCCACCTCCTCGTCGGAACCACACAACGACGTCCCCTCCCTCGTTACGTACCGTAACTACGCCACCCTCTATTTCATCATCATTTCGACCTCCACTGAGTCCCCGCTCGCCCTCATCGATTTGATTCAAGTATACGTCGAATCGCTGGACAGGTTGTTTGAGAATGTCTGCGAGCTGGATCTGATTTTCAACTTTGAGACGCTGCATGCGACGCTGGGCGAGATGATTGTGGGAGGGGTGGTGATTGAGACGAATATGGAGAAGATCGTGCAGGGCGTGAGGGCGCAGGGAACGGTGGCGAAGAGGCCGGTTAACGAGAGTAGGGGAGGCGGCATGGGGCTGGGAAGTGGACTGGGGGCTGGGTTGGGCATGGGCGGAAATTTTGTTTGGAGTGGACGATGAGGTCCTAGGAGGCAGCAATGCGTTTACATTGATGCGCTCCGGGGTCTCTAGGAGGAGGTTACGAACAGGCGGGAAGCTGTCATACAGCATCGGCGCTCATACAGCTTTCGAGCAACCAACACTCAAAAGGCGATATGACGCCACATGAGCGAGATACTGGCAAGGAGGAGAAACCATATATACCCACACCTCCCCAACTTCTTCAACGCCAAAAACCCACAAAAGGATATTATACAAAGCATGATACAATTGCTTGGTCCAGTCAATCCCAAGCCTCAGACTTCTCCAACATTACATCTGCCGAGGACGGGACCCGCCTTGGACGCTGGCCTGCGACTCCTGGGACTGGATCCTCGGAACGGGCTTAGGAGCTTCATATTCGAACCCAAGGGAGTTCCAGAACCACTCTCGGAACTGAGAATGCAAGTTAGGGATATGGGTCCTCTTGAGTGAATTGGGGAAACATACCTCGTAGAAAGGTTGCCTCTCATCCTTCCAATCCGCAAACAGGAGACAGTAGATGAGAACAACTAGACCAATAATAAGCATCATACCCTTCAAACTTTGACGTTAAAAGGAATACATACAGCTAATAGTCCCCAACTGCGCCAGCTGCACAATCTTGTTCCACCTCGGTCTCTGCGCAATATGATGCAGCTTCCTCTTATACCGCTTCTCGTACTTCAGCTGCTCCTGTGGCGACATGGTCTTGAAATCGGGAGGCCATGATTTCTTGGCTGGGTACTGTGTGAGGAGGGCGGGACTGATGTGGGGGAGTTTGACAAAGGCTTGTGGCAGCTCGCTGGACTTCGAGGCTGTTGTTGATGCCTTTTGGGCGGCCTGGCGGGCTAGTGGTCGGAACATTGTCGTCGTTGTAAGTGAGGAGTTGTAAGTGACGATGATGACGATACGTATACGCGAGTCGTAACAATGGAGTTGAAAGGGGAGTCAGTGACAGGGGAGACTGGTCATCGTGGAGTGAGATGGATGGAGCTCATGATGGAGTTGATGGATCTTTGTTTGTGGCTGGTGCGTGTTGAGTGACTAAGCCACACACTAAAACGTTAGACGCCCCGCCAAGCGATGTCGCGGCAAGGGAGTGGAGCCAGCTGTCTAGGCCTGCCGCCGTTCTGCCGTGCCTGACTTAACTGCACTGACCCCGCGAAATGACAGTGGTTGTTGCAGTGCCCCTCCAAAGAATTGTAAGAGGCGACTGAAGAGTTGCCGTTGTCGTCCCAAAATTTCGGAATCTGACTCAATTCCACAGGTCAGTCATCCCGTCAAAGAAACACTCCCCTCTAAGCTCTGGCTTGTCGCGTGTGGTTGTACGAGTCAATGCCCAGTTTCTAACACTTTGAGGACAGAGAATTCGCAGTCCGGGTTGCCGATTTCGGTCTTTTTCTTCCTCTCCGTCTTCATCACCACGACCAGACATCACCACATAAACAAACAAACAACCAAACATGGCCGACACAACAGCCGTCGCCAAGGGCGTCGCGAACCTCTCCGTCTCCGCCTCCAAGACCAAGGAGCTCAAGGGCACCGAAAAGAGAGACACCCTCGTCGAGATCGAGAAGAAGTACCAGCAAAAATGGGAGCAGGAGGGCGTCTTCGAGGTCGATGCCCCCTCTACTGCCGAGTTCCCTCTCGACGCCATCACCCCCGATGAGCTGCGCGAAAAGCACCCCAAGTTCTTCGGCACCATCGCCTACCCCTACATGAACGGCCGCCTCCACGCCGGCCACGCCTTCAGCTTCTCCAAGATCGAGTACCACACCGGCTTCGCCCGCATGCAGGGCAAGCGCGCCCTCTTCCCCCAGGGCTACCATTGCACCGGTCTGCCCATCAAGGCCTCGGCCGACAAGCTGGTCAAGGAGATTGAGATGTTCGGCCAGGAGTTCGAGCGCTACAAGGAGGAGGAGGTCGTCGAGGGTGCTGCCCCTACCCCTGCCGCTGCTCCCAAGTCCAAGGAGGACCTCACCAAGTTCAACGCCAAGAAGGGCAAGACTGTCGCAAAGACCGGTGGCGCCAAGTACCAGTTCCAGATCCTCAAGTCTCTCGGTATTCCCCTCAACGAGATTCACAAGTTCGCCGACCCCCAGTACTGGCTCCACTTCTTCCCTCCCGAGTGCAAGAAGGATCTCACCAACTTTGGTGCCCGTATCGACTGGCGCCGTCAGTTCGTCACCACCGACGCCAACCCCTACTACGATGCCTTTGTCCGCTGGCAGATGAACCGCCTCTTGGAGCTCAACAAGATCAAGTTTGGCAAGCGCTACACCATCTACTCCATCAAGGACGGCCAGCCCTGCATGGACCACGACCGTAGCGAGGGTGAGGGTGTCCTTCCCCAGGAGTACACTGCTCTCAAGCTCAAGGTCACCGAGTGGGCTCCCAAGGCTGCTGAGGCTCTCAAGGGCAAGCTCCCCGAGGGCGCCAACGTCTACCTCTGCCCCGCCACCCTCCGTCCCGAGACCATGTACGGCCAGGTCTGCTGCTTCGTCGGCCCTGCCCTCAAGTACGGTGTCTTCAAGGCCTCGGAGAACGAGTACTTTGTCATCACCGAGCGCGCCGCCAAGAACATGGCCTACCAGGGCATCTTCGAGAAGGAGGGCGTCATTGAGAAGGCTGCTGATATCGTCGGTTCCGACCTCATCGGTACCCGTGTCAACGCTCCCCTCTCCGTCCACAAGGAGGTCTACGTCCTTCCCATGGACACGGTCCTTGCCACCAAGGGTACCGGTGTCGTCACCTCCGTTCCCTCTGACTCTCCCGACGACTGCATCATGATGACCGACCTCACCAAGAAGCCCGAGTTCTACGGCATCCAGAAGGAGTGGGCCGAGAAGGAGATCGTCTCGGTCATCAAGACCCCTACCTCGGACCTCCTTGCCCCTTACCTCGTCAAGAAGCTCAAGATCAACTCCCCCAAGGATGCCAAGCAGCTCCTCGAGGCCAAGGAGCTCGCCTACAAGGAGGGTTTCTACCAGGGTATCATGAACTACGGTGACTTCAAGGGCGAGAAGGTCGAGACCGCCAAGCCCAAGGTGCGCCAGCAGCTCATCGACGCCGGTGACGCTTTCGCCTACTCGGAGCCCGAGAACAAGGTCGTCTCCCGTTCTGGTGACGAGTGCTCCGTCGCCCTCATGGACCAGTGGTACATCGACTACGGTGAGGACTCGTGGCGCACCGTCCTGTACGACTATGTCGAGAACAAGGACGGCAAGGGCATCAACACCTACTACGCCGACACCCAGCATGCCTTCAAGGGCGTCATCGGCTGGCTCAAGCAGTGGGCTTGCGCCCGTACCTACGGTCTCGGCTCCAAGCTTCCTTGGGACCCCAACTTCCTTGTCGAGTCTCTTTCTGACTCTACCGTCTACATGGCCTACTACACTGTCGCCCACTGGCTGCACAAGGACCTCTACGGTCGTGAGAAGGGCAAGGGCAACATTGGCGCTGACCAGATGATCGACGAGGTCTGGGATTACATCTTCTGCCGCACCGAGCTGTCCGACCACTTGGTCACCAAGTCCGGCATCTCCAAGGAGACTCTCGACTCCATGCGCCGCGAGTTCCAGTACTTCTATCCCCTCGACATCCGTGTCTCCGGCAAGGATCTCATCCCCAACCACTTGACCTTCTGGCTGTACAACCACATCGCCCTCTTCCCCCGTGAGTACTGGCCCAAGTCCGTCCGTGCCAACGGCCACTTGCAGCTCAACGGCGAGAAGATGTCCAAGTCTACTGGCAACTTCATGACCCTCGACGACGTCGTCAAGAAGTACGGTGCCGATGCCGCCCGTGTTGCTCTTGCCGATGCCGGTGATGGTATCTCCGACTCCAACTTTGTCGAGGATGTCGCCGACAACACCATTCTCAGGTTCTACACCAACAAGGAGTGGATCGAGGAGACTCTCAAGGATGAGTCTCTCCGCACTGGCGAGCTTAACAGCTTCCAGGATGCCCTGTTTGACAACGAGATGAATGCCCTTGTCAACGAGGCCCGCAAGCACTACGAGGAGACCTCGTACAAGCTTGCTCTCAAGGCTGCTCACTACGATTTCTTGAACGCTCGTGATATGTACCGTGAGGCTTGCGCTGCTGCTGGCATTCCTCTTCACAAGGACTTGGTCACCAAGTACATCCGTCTTCAGGTGCGTAGTCCCGATTAGCATTACCCTATCTGTTAAGTGATCCCGTCATGCTGACTTCTTCCACAGGCCCTCGTCATCACCCCCATCGCCCCTCACTGGGCCGACTACGTCTGGCAAGAATGCCTCGGCGAGCCCAAGTCCATCCAGTTCGCCCTCTGGCCCGAGGTCCCCGCCGCCAACCCCACCCTCACCGCCGCTCGCGACTACGTCCGCACCACCTCCTCCGCCATCAACTCCGCCGAGGCCGCACAGCTCAAGAAGATGGCCAAGGGCCGCCAGTCCGACTTCGACCCCAAGAAGCCCAAGAAGCTCACCATCTTCACCACTGAGAACTTCCCCACTTGGCAGGCCAAGTACATCGACTTGCTCTCCGAGGTCTGGGATGCTGCTACCGGCGCGCAGAAGATCGATGATAAGGAGCTGAACGGCCGCATCGCCAAGATGGGCGAGATGAAGAAGGCCATGCCCTTCGTCCAGGCACTCAAGAAGAGGTTGAAGGATGGCGAGCCCGCTGAGCAGATTCTTAGCCGCAAGCTGTCGTTTGACGAGAAGGCGACGCTATTGGCTATGATCCCCGGCCTGAAGAGGACTGCTGGTTTGGAGAGCGTGCAGGTTGTTCTTGTTGAGGAGGGCAGCAAGACCGGTAAAGACTTAACGAATGGTGGTGCTGAGATCGAGGTTACCGCGCCAATGGCTGAGGCTGCTCTTCCTGGTCAGCCCAGCTTTTTCTTTACCAATGTTTAAAGAGGTGATGTAGGATGGGAATCTATGTGGTGGAAGATGATGGTTTTTCGAATGTCATTTGTATGGGTTTGATATCAAGGATGGTAAAAGTTTAGCGATGAATAGATTTGTGTTCATCTCAGCGGCGAAAGTCCTGCTCCCTGTTGTTTTGTCTGTCGTGCCTGGTTAGTCGTTTCTTTTCTTTGTTGATGTTGGGGGATGTACATCAAGGTTGTCATGTTCAGAGGACAAAGCACTTGGCTGTGTGATGACGATGGTCGGGATGGTGTTGAGGTGTGTTTGTGGCTTCTGGGTTGCATATACTCGGAGGCCTCAAAGCAACGTCTCGACCAGTTCTGCCCGGTTTGGAAACCCGCTTGCCTGCTAGGATTCCGGAGAGTTGGCCCGGAGGCTCGAGCACCGGCGGTCAGACCTCGCTGCACCGCCTTCTCAGGATGCTGGACTGCGATAAATACTCCGCGCCTGTTCCTTTCTCCAACTCCGACATCCCAAGTATTCAGCTCCGGAGAGCACGTGAAGAGGTTGGCGCTATTGCGAGGCCTGCGAGTTACAGCATGCTCGGAGACCATCTCCCCGCTCCGAAGGCAGAACCTAATGAGTTAAGGAGCCCTGGTTCGGAGGAACAGAACATCCCTGTTGATTGCGTAGTTGTGTCAGCATTATGTTGTGCTCAACTCCCTGAAGGGGTTACGAAGCTCCAGTGTTGGTTGGGCCATCATGACCTCACTCCAGAAGTGAGCCAAGTGTTCATCCGGCGTTGGGCTTGCTCAGAACAGAGCCTTCCTTGAACTTGACTCAGCTCACATGTTGTCGTCCGCGGCAGTGCAGCTCCTCTTTCATCATCCAGACATCTTCCGGCGGCTTGGTATCTGATCCCCTCCTCTCCAGCCTCCCCTCATCTAGCCTTTATTAGCCGTTCTCTCCCCTCGTTTCTCTGTCATCTTATCTTTCCCTCAACGCTATCCTCCTTCCTGCTCTCGTTTTCCTCAAAGCTAAGCAAGACAAGCCAACCGAGAGGATCAACTCACTCGCTACCAAAACAAAAACACCAAAGCCAAAACAAGCCACCGGTCTTAAAGCCAAGCAAAATGCGTTCCTCAACTCTCCTCGCTGCTCTCGGCACTGCCGGCCTCGTCGCCGCTCAAACCACTGTTACCAGTGTTTTTGTGAGCACGCCGACCTCAACTTCTTCAAGTAAGTCTTGTTTTCGTCCGTCGTCCTTCTCACTGCCTTTTCCCCCTTTCCCCCCTATTCACATTGTCTTGTTTTCGTCCGTCGTCCTTCTCACTGCCTTTTCCCCCTTTCCCCCCTATTCACATTCCCAATCATCACTTTGGTCTTTTCTCGTTTATTATCACAGCAGACATCCCAACTGTTTTGCGTTTCTGTCACAGCACCTCCTCCAAACGAGCCCCTCCAGTCTTGTCTAGCCTCTTGCATGCTCCAATTCCCGTCACCGCCTCGCGTTACAGGTGGTATTCCGCCTGCTGTCAAGGGGGGCCGGAGTCGGATCGACCGGCTGAATCGACGGGAACGGGATGCTGTGGTGGTTGAGCGCGATAGTAACATAGCTCCTTGTCATCCCCATCAACAACCTCCTCCGGTCACTTTCCCTCCGTTTCCTCCCCCAAGAGCGCCTATTCCTGTTCAGCCTCCTCGTCCTGTTCATTCGTTGCCTCCTCCTGTTGTTCCTGAGGAGTTTGTTGTGCATGGGAATGAGCACAAGCGAAACCATGAGGAGCTCCCCCCTCGTCCTCACCCTCCTGTTCACTCACTTCCCCCTCTGGGATTCTAACTTATCACCAAATTACCCATTCCCCTCTTTCCTGCTCTTCATCATTTGTCCCCTCACGCTTTTTTCCCCCTTTCTCATCTGCATTCTCTTCACATAACTCTTTTCAATCCCTCCACTCTCTCTCTCTCTCTATCACCATACTAATAAGTCACAAAAAGCCGTCGTGACAGTCACCCCCACCACCTCCTCCACCTCCACCTCCTCCACAACCACCACCGTCTACTCCTCTTCCTCCAGCACTTCGGGCGTCACCACCTCCACCTCCACCTCCACCGCGTCTACGGTGCCTAGCGCCGCGGCTGGAAAGGTGCCGCTGCAGGGACCGGCGGTTGGGCTTGGAGTTTTTGCGGCTGCGGGAATGGCTTTGTTGTGAAGAGGTTTTCCTTTTACTTTCTTGGTGATTGAGTATTTTCCTTTGTTTGTGTGCTGTTTTGGGGTTGTCTTTCTTGTTCTTGGTTTACGAGTTTGGGTGTTGGTTGTGGGTGTTGTTGGGTTGTTTGAGTCACTAAGTGAGTGAGTGAGTGAGCGAGGAGATGATGTGGTGTGGTGTCTGTTGTAATGTTCCGTGGTATGGTGGTGTCTACTGCCTAGTGCCTAGTGATGGGAGGTGGAATAGAAGATGGATGGTATGGTGGTAGTGGTTATACACAAATCATGATGTTGAGTACACGCTACTGTTGATTGTTGAACACAAATGGGGCAGTGGTTGTTGCTGATTTTCTTTTTCTTGGTTTCGTGGTGGTTGGGGTGAAGATATTCTTGGAGAGTGTGAGTGAGGCATCCAGTTCCGATAGAGGAGAGGATTGGACGAGGGGAGATGTGTTGGCGAGAAGGTTGAAATCAGGGCAATAACACCAGGGGAAGGATGGTGGTGGTTGAAAGATGTTAGGGGTCTGGGATTGAGTTCCTGGAGAGGGCGGAGGTGGAGTAGGAGGCAGTAGGTATGGAGGCACATCAACATCAACGACGGCATCAGGAAAGTGGACTTGGGTGGTGATGGTGGTTTCGGCAACCACAATCACAGAGGCAGTGTGGGCAGCGGTGCGAGTAGGCGATGGGGATGGGAGCTTCGCGAAGATAAAGTTCTTGAGGTGGAGGGTATGTGATGATGGAGAGGAGGAGGAGGAGAAGCATGAGGAGGCGTAATATGGAGTATTGTACATATACGAAGGGTTAATAATGAGTTTCTTTTCCTCGGTCTTGGAAGATGTCACAACTCGTTTCGAAATCTTCGACACCTGCGGAAAAAAAAAATGGTGAATCATGTCAGGAGATTGATCACCACTTCGAAAATGCAAAAAGGAAGAAAAAAAAAAGAAATGGTTGCTGATCGCGGATGCATGAACCGCGAAAAGTCAAAAAGATGTTGTAAATGACCCCAACCCGATTTGAACGGATAACCTTTCGATCTGGAGTCGAACGCGCTACCGTTGCGCCATGAGGCCTTGTTGAAAACAGAAGCTGTAACAAGACCTTATGAGAGCAAGTCTAGAGCTGTGCAACCAGTGACAGCTTCCTTGTATTCCCAAATTCCTTCAATATGAACGGAAGAAACGGTGTCGAGCGTTGGTAAGCCTTTGAACCCTTTTCCCCCTTAAAAGTTCCGAAGGTTTTGCTATGGAGACTGACGGCATAGCTCTGCGTGGGTTACTGGTTGGCCTCAGCTATTGGAGGAAGCTCTGGAAATACGAATAACGTAGCAATACGAAATCGTTAATAGTTACGCAGCCCTGACTTACACGCATCGGTAGTTTTGGCGTACCATACTGTAAATTACACCGACCCACCCCCACACTTTTGTCCCGCTCGCCGCGCTGACTCTTTTTTGTCCCCAGCCTTCAACTTTCCCACTTCAAACCTCAACCTCACCCAGCATCCCCCAACTCTTTCCATTCCGCCATCATCTCCAAAGGATCACTCCTACCTCGCGACTTTCTAGCGCCCGTCAACATCCTCCCCGCACCAACCCGAACCGAGCAAACTTTCTTGGAACCAAACCAGCCAAAATGTCGGACGAAGAATACTCCATCTACGACGAAGTCGAAATCGAAGACATGACCTACGACCCGGCTCTGCAGACGTATTCGTACCCCTGCCCATGCGGCGACAAGTTCGAGATTGCGCTCGCCGACCTCCAGGACGGTCAGGACATTGCCGTTTGCCCGAGCTGTAGCTTGATGGTTAGGGTCATTTTTGAGCTTGTGAGTATCGCCCTTTTCTCTTGGCCAGGGACTGGGTGGAAAGATGGTGGGGGGCAGAAAGGATTCGCGAGAACGGAATCGCAGAGAATGCAAGTCTTAAGAGTACGGTGGCTAACCGATGCGTTAATAGGATAACCTCCCTAAGGCCCCGGATGCCGCGGCGCCTATTGCTGTTTCTGCTTAAAGGTGGACTACGAAGCCGAAAGAGAAATAGAAATGGCGCGGACTTTAGAAGTTGCTCGCAACGGTTTATTCATGAGTCCCTACACCGAAGCCGAGGGCTAGGGAAACACCGGCCCATTCCAACTTCAACTCGCGACCAAACCCACAACACAACCAACAATGTTCACAACATGGCGATTGTCTTCTCGAGCCCAGCCCGTCGTCTTTGCCTACATCAAGATCATGTCATGCTGTACGGCAAGCCAGCCAACCAAGCGAACAAGAACAAACTCAACCAAGCCAACCCATCAGCCCGTTGATCCTCCGCCGCCCCTCGCCCATGCGAACAACCCGCACTCGGCCGTCATGACACCTAAACCGACTCGACTTGATTCTTGAACAACTCGACCTCGACAGGAAAGCAAACAGCGCCGCCCGGCCGTCCGGATCAAAGATCGAACAACACGCTTCGCGCTACAGGGTGTTCAACAAAACCCCAAAACAACAAACGTTGACTGCGGCTGGTGACGAGAAAAGAATGGAAGGAACAACGCTCCCTACATCTGAGAATTTACGGTCGGACTAGCGAGCGGAGGAAAGCATACAAAATGATTCGTCGACATCTTGGCTCCGCGGCCCTTGGTTTGACTGCGACCATGTGCTTCTGGCGTTTGATATTCGGATTGGGCTTCACGGAAATGCGACAAGCGTTGTTGCGTTGCAGCGGTTGATCTTGGATTCTGGTCAGAGTAGAACATCAAAAAGCACTCAAACAATGGTTGAGCGAAGCAAAAAGACAGGGGCTGGATCTGGATAGGGTGGCTTCGATGGCGTTTTGGGTGTGTCTTCAGTATCCGGTCGATAACGTGCGATGGAAGTAGGAGGGCTTGATCAACGCTTTGGCACCTTGTATAAATTATACAGGTGTTGGTGTTGACTGGAGATCTAATTTGGAATGGCTGGTTTGGAAGTGTTTGGGTATCAGCTACAGTTGGCAGGTTTGTTGCTTGAACCTCTACCAAGTAGGAAACCAAGATTCAAGTTGCAAAGAATGACAGAGTTACAAACACCTGCCACGAGAAGCTTGCAATGACCAAGTATACATGCTGTGTCTCTTGTACGAACATCATTGCATCTAGTGATACTGTAAGTATGCTCATAATTCCTAGAACAGACCGTATAAAGCGCGCCATCCAATGTCATCGATATAACCCCATCTAGTCAACTCTCTTCCATTGACTTTTCCTGCATCTTCATCCTCCACCCGTCCCATTGATCTCGCCAATCACGCTCTACCCCATCCCATGTCCCCCTCCCCCTAAAGTTCGCATCAATTCTCTGATCTCACCAAGCATCTTCCTCCCGTCTGCATCCCTATCCACATCAACAGTCTCAGACCTCACCTCCATGTCAGTCAGGTCCCTCATGTTCCTAACCACCCAAAAACCCCCTCCTCTCATTCCTCCTCCTCTCGCTGCTCAGCGCATCAAGTTTAACAGCCACCAGGCAACATTCCACCGACGCTTTGGCCGGGTTGGGATTCGGATTCTTCGTCGTGACCGATTGTATACGCAGCCGCCACTGGCCGGTTTTGACGATCCATTCCTCGCCGCCTAGCGGTGAGGTTGGAACGGTGGCTACTCCGAAGGGCGGCGGGTTGGAGTCGAGGCGTCGGCGTTTGCGGGGGTTTTCGGCGGGTGATGTTTGTTGGTGTTGGTGTTGTTGTTGAGGGGTGGAGGGGTTGGATATCTCTAGGGGGGATTCGGCTGTCAAGGGACCGCCGCCGGCGGAGGAAGGAACGGATGGGACGGAGGGCACTGCGGGGATGGTGGTGGTGCCGGGGGTGTTGATTGTGGTTTCTTCGTGTGCGGGTAGTGGGTAGGTATTTTGATTAGAGTCGTCTGGCGGCGTCCAGGGTTGGCCGTCTAATGTTATGCTTGCTTCGGGGTCGAGGATGACTCGGACGAGGTCTTCGCTGAGAGGAGTGTGTCCTGGCGTGGGCGGCTCGCTACTCCTCCCTCCTTTTGCCATTAATAGCCCCAACGGCTGCGTGGAAGAGGGTAAGTTGAGCTTGGTAGCGACGACCTCGAACAACTTGGCCACTCTCGTCTTGGTGTCCCTGAAGAACCCCGCCCTCAACTCCTTTCCTCCAGGTCCAAAGTGTAACCGCGTGCCTTCTTCGCCGACTTCGAGAACGAGTTCCATCGGCTTATCATCCACATACGGCCTGGCATAATTCACCCACCCCGCCAAAGGATCTCCCACCACCGGCTCATTCACCACGCTAATCCCGCTCTTTAAGATGTCTCTCAACCTCAGCAAAATCTCCTCCCGTCCCCTCGCCTGATTGAACCCCTTCTCATGCGGAATCAAACTTTGCTCTAGCCTCTTGAAATTGAAATACCTACAATCCCGTAACAACTCCTGGCGATGGGTCTCATCCCTTATCTTGACCGGGTACCCCCTCAACATATGCAGTAGTTCCTCAAAGACCTCGGCGCTGCGGTTCGGCACACTAGGCGGGACAATTGACGGCGGACGAATAAGTCCCTCCCTATCCAAACCGGGAAACAAATCCTCGGGATTGCTGAAAAAGATGGCAAACCCCAGCGTAAAGAAGTTTGGCGTGTTCCCGGGTCCAGAAAGGGAGAAGATGTCCCGCGGGATCTGGAAGGGGGTGGAGCCGATGGTGATGTGGATGGGTTCCTCGTAGAGCTGGGAGATGAGTTTGGGGAGGGAGTAGAACTGGGCATCGGCGAAGAGACGGACGAAGTGGGTGGCGTCCCGGGGCCGGACGTGGTAGCCCTGAAGGTGCAGGGAGATGTCTTTGAAGGTAACGGGGTCGCGGTCGATGTAGAGGGTGCGGATGGCGGTGGAGGGGTCTTGGCCGGCGTCGGAGGCTCGTTTGAGTTGACAGAGGAAGTATTGGGAGAAGTAGGAGGGGGCTGTGAGTGTGTTAGTTGTGTGTGAAGTGTGGGAAAGGGGGATGAGGTGACACACCATCGGAAGATAATGAGGCACCGGACAGCTTAAAGAGCTCAGAGCCAATCTGTATGGGAAACACTCGCTCATGAGGGAGGATATTCGGTATGTGAACTATCCGTTGATGTGAAGAAGCTGAGAAGGATGATACGCCATGTTCACCATTTCTGGAGTGAACATCACCCCCTGAGCTTGTCATTGCTAGCTGCTTTCAGTACAAGTTGCTCAAAAAATCGTAGATGATTGTCGTGGCGGATGTGAAGTAGTTGGATTACGGTTTGAATAAGCTCATTGTCCGTGATTGGTGGAGGTTGGAAGCATTACAAAGTGAGCCTCTTCGTCTTTGTGTAAGTCGTGTCTAGAGCCGGCGCGAACAGTACTTGGGACTTTCAGCAAAGGAAAGTGGAAATGATAATGAGAAATGTTTCACGGATCGTCAACGGCCATGGTCTACAAAGTGGGATGCAACCGCTTTGGGGAAGAATTGTTACATGTGATGAAATGTATAAGAGAGAGGGGTCGTAATATTAGAAGTCCCGTCAGCGCGGCACCGGGGGGACTGTCTGGTTATTTTGTCTTTGTGTCGTGTCGTGTCATTGCAACGAAGAAGTTAACTCCCCGTGAAAGTCTAACCTAAAGCGGTATGGCGTGACCCGCTTTTTAACCGTTAGCACACCCGCAGCGGGCCGTCAAGCAATTATGGATCAGCTGTCATCGGGGCTTGGCCAGCTGTCCACTCTGTCCTACTGTAGAGGTACGTACCTTTTTCTGTGGCATCATCAGGCATCGTGCAGTGTCCCCAAACACAAACGGAAGCATGTCAGATCTCACCTGCTTCGACTTTGTGTTTCCCCATGTCCTGTCACCATGGGCTTGGGATGGTAATTGATTGCTTGCATTGGGATTCAAGCCACTCCCAGCGGCCTCGTCTCATTCTTTGATAATTGGCGCGCTCGTCTCTGTAAGGGAGGCTTGTCTCGGAGCAATCTATGCGCCTGGTTCTGGGGACGTTGGAATCAATGCGATTGGGCAAATTTCGAGGTCAATGCTGTGGAGGGGGGTCTATATCGAACAACGGAAACCATCATGTGTCTTTGGAGGAGAGGAGGGACTACCTCTATGGAGTTGACGAGGGTTGATGGATTGGTGGTGGTTGAGGTGCCCACTCATGACTGGAGAGCATTCACGAGGAGAAGGAGCAACATGGAAACCGACGAAACATCACGCTGGGTGGGGATGAGAGGAAGAGCGTCCTACGAGAACTTGCTGAATCCTGTGAAGGAAGCAGGTCGTGATCCTTCCCTTTCTCGCTGGCTCTTTCCTGTTGCTGCTCGCCTTCGCACCTTCCGGTTTCTGCCATTCGGCTACCAAGATAAGGTCAGCAGAAGCCTGCTCTCCCCAATGAAAGTGGAAAACAGGCGAGCGTTCAGAGTTTCAGAGTGGTTGGCCACGAATCGAAAATCCCGTCTGGTGTGACCATGTCACACTGCAGTTGACATCGTCATTCGGGCTTCGGCAGCGGTTGACTGCTTCCGCAACAGCACCAAACACTCGCTCAGCATGGATGGACCAGACCAGGTCAAACGCCGATACTGGGACCTGGCATCAGAAATGAGGGATTCCTTGATCGTTTCGACGTTTGGTGCTTTCTCACAGCCAGTATCATGGACTTTGTCAGCAGTCTTAGGTGGCGGATCTATGCGCGAGGCCCTCAGTTTGCGCTTCTGAGGTGAAGTCCATGCCCTTTCCTCCTCCCAGAGGTGCCAACATTACGGATTCCTGCCTCGAAATGGAAGACACAATAACTTTGTGGGGTTAGCGAAGCAAAGGCGGGCAAACAATGCCATTGCTTCGTTGCTGGATCGCCAGGGAAATTGTACGAGTCAAAACTCCGTATAAGCCCATCACTACCTGTTCCCTCGTCCATTCCCGTCCCAGTTTCAATGCTTCCAGAGCTAACATGCCCAATCCCAATATGTCTTCAAGTCAGATAGATCACGCAAAGGTGGTCTCGGAGCTCTTCCAAGACATCATCACGCACACATCCTACGAGAAGCTCAAGGGCATTTCCGACCAAAATGCTGAGCTCCGCGACAAAGTCAAAAAGCTCACGACAACTCTTGAGGTGAACCTCGAGAGCCTGCACAACACCAAAGCAAAACTGGACAAATCATGCCAAGACCTGCTAAAGAAAGACGAACAAGTCAAGTCTCTTCAGAAGGAGGCCGACCACCTTGGTTCAATACTCACCGCCAAGACACATGAGCTCAAAGAAGGGGCCCAAAACACAACCAGGGCTGAAGACGCATTCAAAAGGGCGGAACTCGAAATCGAGGATCTTACCAAAAGTCTCGAGGAAGAACGCAAAAAGACCGAAGACAGGGAAGCCATCGAGCAAGAATTGGAGATGACCAGAAGAGATCTTGATCACTACAGGCAAGAGCTCAGAAAATTGGAGAACTTCTCAATGCCGCTGAAACCTACACGAGTGGAAGAGATGTGAGCTGCCCCCCTTTCCCCATGTCTGCTCATCAATCTGACGACAACGATATCCAGAACCTCTCGCTTCACCAAGATTTTCGACCTCGCTTGCGACCTAGCCAAGAAATTCTTTGGGGCAGACCTTCCCGAGTCTTCCTTAGCCAACGTGACCCTGTGGGATCAACTGAAGAAGCACAACATTGTTCACCAAGCCCGGATTCCACTGCCCTTATCCAACACTGTCGCCGCCAAGCAGATGCGCAGCGTCGCTGTTCTCGCTGTCCTTTACGCCGAGCTAAAAGAGCACGTCTTTCAGCCGACGTATTTGTTCGAGGACCCCCGTGCCAACGATGAGTTTACCAGATTGCTCAAAACCATGGATCCCGCCAAAGAGGCCTATCTGCGCTCTGTTCTCCTTGGCTCCATTGATAAGGACGTGTGGAAGGAGAAGGTCAAGGCCAAGGTAGAGACACTGAAAGCCAGTGTAGATGACTGCGTTGGGCCGTTGTTGTCAGAGCCAGAACGAGTTCGTTTCAGGGACCACCTGGACCGTTTCTGCAGAAAGGCTTGTTCTCTTTGGCATTATATGCAGAAGTTGGAGGACAAGGTACACTACTCGGCTGATGACTGGGTAGTACCAGGCTCGGAAGCTTACCGTCTACTTCCATTGTCATCCATGGTTGTGGTGAGCGAGGAGCTGCCCGATGAGACGTATCCCGGCGAATATCTCGAAAGCCCCAAGCAAAGACAACCGTTTATGGGAAACGGGCAGTCATCCCCTGTCATGTCTTCCTCAAACGTCACTTTTACTCACGACATTGATAGGCTATCGACCTCACCATCACCATCCAGGTCAAGAGCCAGAACGTTCACCATGGCATCAACCGTCGCCACTGCTGCCGCCAGTACCGCAGCTGGCCCTGGTGATCTCTTGAGCGTTGTCTGGCCGGCCTTCCACATTGACCCAAGCACAGCGGAAGAAGACGTCTACATGATCTCAACAGGCTATGGAGTCTGCGAGAGTCAGCTCAAGACAGCTAGGGAGGAGGAGGCTTACTCGACTGGCACACATCGCGCGGCCAGGCAGAGTCGAAGACGCCGGGGCATGTCGTCCGCTGCCAGAAACCGGACTCCGGGGGTCTCAGGATATGGAGATGGCGATGACGGTGACCAGCAAGACGGAGTGTTTGAGTATGGTTGCGAGTCTACGCTGTCGTCTTTTTTAAATGCAGGTCAGTCGGAGTTGAGCATTGGGTCAAAGAGAGGTTGGTGAGGAGGAAAGTGAAAAGAGGGACAAGGCGGCAGAAGGAGCGAAGCAGTAAAGATTCTGAAGTGAAGAAAGGAAATCTAAAGACAAAGACAAAGACAGCTGAGCCCAATCTGACTTCAATGTTGACGTTCATCTGTTTGTACAACTGATGTCTGCCCGATCACTCAACTACTGCAGGAACGTGTATGTTGCAGGTCCAATGCTGCGGCACTGGGTCACTCACGATCTTTCGTCCGTACCCAAAGACAAACCAATTCACCAATAATGGCTGCCAATTGAGACGCCCTATGCGCTGAATGTTTTGATGTTGAGTGATGCTCAAGAAGCCAGTCCAGATACCACTCTCGTTACCGAGCAGATGGTTGAGCATTTCAGGGGTTAAAATACCGTACATGGATCTACTCCATAGCCGGTGCAAATCCTCATGGGTTATGCATGCATATACCACTTCCGTGATCCCCTCCTTTTCCACGTTGTCAAAGTCAATTCATGTTGTCGTCCAGGTACCCGGTAGATGCACCAAGACGCAGCAGCTTTCTCCACCGCAAGTTTCCAGAAAAGAAAAACCAATTTAACCCTCGGACTTATGTTGCTGCCCCTGACGCGGTGGCTGGCGATGTTCGAACTTACAAATCCGAAGTTGAGTTCTGGACCGGCCGTCCGAGGGGGGGAGTCCAGGGGCAAGAACAACAGGCGGAACAGTGCAAGACGGTACCACGGCAACCACTCAGTAACCACCTGCCAGCGAGCGGGTGGTGATGCCCCTGGTGGCGGACAACGAGGGGCCAAAGGGGGCACGGTGCACGGACCCCCTCTAACTGAATGGTCGTCGCTGTCGCTAAAAGTCCACGAGTCGTTCGTTGACGCTTTCCCCCATTGGGCAGGCTGGTGTCAACAATCGAAATTTCCCCACCACGGGCCAGTTCGAGCACGTCCACTTTCTTGTGCTTCGCCCATCAGGCACTTCCACTTCCGAATCCGCCGCCCGCCAAATCCTCAATTTTGCACATCCCATCCATCCCATCCACCGCATCGCTGCCCTTTCTCCAACAACCCACCGCGACGCCGTCTTTCGAGTCTTGACAACTTTTTGCTTTCCACTTCTTTCTACTACTACTACTTCTTTAATACACACCAAACCACCCAAAATGCGTGAAATTATCAGCTTGAACGGTACGTCGACAGCTTCCATCTCCTGAATCACCGCTTTCTCGCCCACCTATCCCGCCCTTCCTGTTCGCCTCCATAGTGGCGTGCGCGTTGTTGGCGAAAAAGCAGCCTCACCGCCAGCGTGAACCCGTCGCCCACCCAAAGCTGGCGTATCATCGGCCTCATCCACCATCTATCCGCCTACTCATCTATCGTCGAGATAAACACAGCATGCTAACGTTGCTTTCCTCATCTAGTCGGCCAGGCTGGTTGCCAGATCGCCAACTCCTGCTGGGAGGTAGGTCATCGTCGCCCTCTCCCGTCATCCCCCACCACACGCGACACATCCTGTCCATGATAGCACCGAAAACCGAACCATGGAACATCCGACCGCCCTCTTTTTATACACAGGACAAAGAAGGCTAACCCTATCATTAGCTTTACTGCCTTGAGCACGGCATTCAGGTAAGCTTTGCCCCCATCCCTCCCACCTTATCTCTCCCCGCCATCCGCACAAGATGCTAACCTACGACACCACAGCCCGATGGTTACCTCACCGAGGAGCGCAAGGCCGCTGACCCCGACCACGGCTTCAGCACTTTCTTCTCCGAGACCGGTACATAGCGCCCTTGCCTAGCACAACGCGCGAAACAGAAGCTTACAAATACAAACACAGGCAACGGGAAATACGTTCCTCGCACCATCTACGCCGATCTCGAGCCCAACGTCATCGACGAGGTCCGCACTGGCGCCTACCGCGGTCTCTTCCACCCCGAGCACTTGATCAGCGGCAAGGAGGATGCCTCCAACAACTATGCCCGTGGTCACTACACCGTCGGCAAGGAGCTTATCGACCATGTTCTCGACAAGGTCCGCCGCGTTGCCGACAACTGCAGCGGTCTCCAGGGTTTCCTCGTTTTCCACTCGTTCGGTGGTGGTACCGGTTCCGGTTTCGGTGCTCTCCTCATGGAGCGCCTCTCTGTCGACTACGGCAAGAAGTCCAAGCTCGAGTTCTGCGTCTACCCTGCTCCCCAGACTGCCACCTCCGTCGTTGAACCTTACAACTCTATCCTCACCACCCACACCACCCTCGAGCACGCCGACTGCTCCTTCATGGTCGACAACGAGGCCATCTACGACATCTGCCGCCGCAACCTCGGCCTCGAGCGCCCCAACTACGAGAACCTTAACCGTCTGATCGCTCAGGGTATGTCATGATTTGGATCTATGACGTGTGTGATTTTCCTAGACTAACTTTTTGTCTCAGTTGTCTCTTCCATCACCGCCTCGCTCCGCTTCGACGGCTCCCTCAACGTCGATCTCAACGAGTTCCAGACCAACTTGGTCCCCTACCCCCGTATCCACTTCCCTCTCGTCGCCTACGCCCCCGTCATCTCGGCTGCCAAGGCCGCCCACGAGGCCAACTCGGTCCAGGAGATGACCATGTCCTGCTTCGAGCCCAACAACCAGATGGTCAAGTGCGACCCCCGCCACGGCAAGTACATGGCCACCTGCTTGCTCTACCGCGGTGACGTCGTCCCCAACGACGCCCACGCTGCCGTTGCTACCCTCAAGACCAAGCGCACCATCCAGTTCGTCGACTGGTGCCCTACTGGTTTCAAGCTCGGTATCTGCTACCAGCCTCCCCACCAGGTCCCCAACGGCGATCTGGCCAAGGTTAACCGTGCTGTGTAAGTTTTTTCTTATGCCTGTATGCATGGATGACTAGTTCTAACTGTGACAATAGCTGCATGCTTTCCAACACCACTGCCATCGCCGAGGCCTGGTCTGCCCTCTCCTCCAAGTTCGATCTCATGTACTCCAAGCGTGCTTTCGTCCACTGGTACGTTGGTGAGGGTATGGAGGAAGGCGAGTTCTCTGAGGCTCGTGAGGATCTCGCTGCCCTTGAGCGCGATTACGAGGAGGTTGCCGCCGACTCGATGGAGGGTGAGGAGGTCGAGGCCGAGTACTAAGTGCAAGTACAAGTACAGCAACACAGTGTACGGGATACGCTGCTTGTGAAACGTTAATTGTTGGTACGAAGATGTTGATGGATTCGGAATGAAGAGATATACAAACACCCACGGAGCCCTTGACTGTGGCTTCCTGTTAGTTGTTTGAATGGGTGCGCATTAGACGTCTTGCTATAGGGATGGTGATGATGATGGGTTCGTTGTTATTATTCCATGGCGGATGTCAGTTTTGATGTGGCCTTCAGTTGAGGACTTGAGGTTGAAACTATTTTCTTGTTAGACTGAAACGTGATAGCCATTTTTAATTGAGTGAAGTAGTATTGGTGTACACGATGTCTTTGGAGAGTGGTGTCGCAAGGAGTAGATTTAGAGTGTGACTGGTCTAAACAGGGTTGTGTAAGCTCTTGTCAGATCACACCCATTTCCAATTCCAATAGCTTCAGGTGGTCAAGTCCAGCAAGTTAGAGTCGTGAAATGCAGTATGCAGACATGGCATGAGGGATATACCACCATGTGGCGTCCAGACGCGCAACGAAGATGGTGGTGTGGAAATGGGTTGGTGTAGTTGTGGTTGTGCATCGTGAGTGGTATTGTGGTTGGACGGGACGTTCGTTGGTTGGAGGTTAGGTTGGGATAAACATGGGAGATGAAGATGGGGGTCACTGCCACGGGAGGGAGGACACTGTACGAGGGTGAGGGAATGTGAGGACCTCGGTTACAGAAAAGAGCTGGGTATAGTTTTAACCTCAAATGTAGGTTTTCCTATTTATCACAAGGCTGAGATGGATTATCGACTATACATAGGTATGGCCTCTTATACATTCGATATCGATAATCTGGATGATGGGCACAAATGCACGGCTGCATCACAGAATATTCCTTGTGCAGCCGCTGTGCAGGCCAACCAGATGACCGACTCCGCACTTTGTGGCACTAACAGCCGCTAGACCCAGCAGCGCACATTGCGGGTGGAGCACATTGGCTTCAAGAAGGTCCACTTTTCATCTTGGCGGGTCGAAGCTCTGTAGCGCCCGCTGTGGAAGTCACTGTCGCATTCCCAACCGAGCCAACCTCACCAGATCACAATCACAGAGGCAGAGAGGAGGCAGCAATCTGGCCCAGACACCATAGCCATACTGTACTAGCAGCCTAATATTCTTTCTTTCTTTCTTTTCACTCTACCCGACCTCGACGGATTGCCCTTGTGCTTGTGTCATCAATCCGAAACATTCTCTCCAACTCCCTTGTTGCGACATCATCCAGGGCGTCATTCCCCTTTCCGCGACCCGGCAACCCAAACACCTCGGAACACCCGCCCAAGCATCCCGACGTTCCCAGTCGATATCTCCACCAACAACTAACCAACAACAACCTCCGCCCTGAGACCCGACATCTTGTCACCTGTACGGATACTTTGGAAAAGAAGCATTGGGTTAATACGAACCCGATCCGACGACGATAATCACCGACGGTAGCTGGTCCCAGTAACCAGGTCACCTATTACCATAATACATAAGTCCTCTGCGCAGAGGGTACAGCTTGCCCATGATGGCTTCTGATCCCGATGCTGGTGAGCCTCTCCTCAGTCTCCCATGTACTAGTATCGAATAGGGCTAATTCCAATGCGACCAGGCGTCCCCAACTTGAACCTCACCCCCGAGGAGAAGCGAGTCTACGGCCAGCTCTTCCGCGCCGCCGATACCGATGCCGTTGGAGTCATCACCGGCGAGGTGGCTGTCAAGTTCTTTGAAAGGACAAAGTTGGATTCCCGCGTCTTGGGAGAGGTCAGTCATTGTCTCCCCTTGCTACACCTGCCGTGCGACAACTGACGTATTCTCCCCGAAAACAGATATGGCAAATCGCCGACAAGGAAAACAGGGGCTTCCTCACCCCAGCAGGCTTCGGCGTCGTCTTGCGGCTTATCGGGCACGCGCAAGCCGGTCGCGAACCTTCCCCCGAGCTCGCCCTGTCGCAGGGTCCGATTCCTAGATTTGACGGCTTCACCCCGACTCCCGCCCCCGCCCCCGTTCCCGGCCCGGCCCCGTCGCCTGCGATGCCTGCTGCTATGGTTTCCCCGCAGGCCACCGGTTCCGGCCCCATCCGGATCCCGCCCCTGACCCCCGAGAAGGTCTCCCAGTACTCGGCCCTGTTCGAGAGACAACCGCTGCAGGGAAACATGCTCCCCGGCGAGCAGGCGAAGCAGATCTTTGAGAAGTCGGGACTGTCTAATGAGATTTTGGGAAGAATTTGGATGCTGGCCGATACGGAGCAGCGTGGTGCGCTGGTGCTGACCGAGTTCGTCATTGCCATGCACTTGCTTACCTCGATGAAGACGGGTGCGCTGCGCGGTTTGCCCACCATCCTTCCTGCCGCGCTGTACGAAGCCGCTACGAGACGCGCCCCCGTTGGCGGGATTCCTCCGCCCGGCCGATCCCCGACGACCGCTACTCCGCCCCTTCCGCCCGCTGCTAGACACCTTACCGGCCCTGCGCAACTTACGCAGACGAGAACTGGCAGCCCGCTGGGACGTCCGCCACTTCCCGCGCAACCGACTGGCGATTGGCTGATTAACCCGGCAGACAAGGCGCGGTTCGATCTGTTGTATGAGGAGCTGGATAAGCAGAAGAAGGGCTTCATCACGGGCGAGGAGGCCGTGCTCTTCTTTAGTCAGTCCAACCTCAACGAGGATGTGCTTGCTCAGATCTGGGACCTTGCGGATATCAACTCGGCTGGTCGTCTCACCCGGGACGAGTTCGCCGTTGCTATGTACTTGATCAGAGAGCAGAGGACTAAGCCCGGTCAGGTTCCTCTACCTACTACTCTGCCTCCTAACTTGATTCCTCCTAGCATGCGCGCCCCGCAGGGTCGCCCTCAGACTGCTACTGGTGGCTTCCAGCCCCCTCGCCCGCAGCCCCCTGCGCCGAAGCCTTCGGCTTTGGAAGACTTGTTTGGTCTGGATGATCCTCAGCCTCCTGCGGCCGCTCCGGCTCCGGTGCAGGTTCCTATCGCTACGGGTGGATCGGTCGATCCGTTCGGCAACAGTGCTAGTCCCATTGCGCCGTCTTCGCCTATCCGCCCCGTTGCGACGGGCTCGAACTTTAGGCCGTTTGTTCCTTCGTCATCTTTTGGTCGCGGTTTGACTACGCAGGTTACCGGTGGTTCGAACAGCTCGGCACCGGCGGGTAGTGTTAGAGCTTCTCCGCTGCCGCCAACAGTTGAAGACGATTTGCTGGGTGACGCCGACCCCGAAGTCAACAACAAGCTCTCCAACGAGACTACTGAGCTCGCCAACCTCTCAAACCAAATCGGCTCGCTCACCAAGCAGGTTCAGGATGTCCAGACCCAGCGAACTAACACCCAGAACGATTTGAGCCAAGCCAGTCAGCAGAAGAAGAACTTTGAACAACGCCTCACTCAGCTGCGCGCCTTGTACGAAAAGGAAGCCCAGGACGTCCGCGCTCTCGAGACACAGCTCAACACTGCCAAGGCGGAGACCAAGAAGCTGCAGACCGAGTTCGCCATGATCGAAGCCAGTTATCTCGAACTGCAGAACCAGCACCGCACTGTTGTTGCTGGCTTGCAAGCCGACCAGCAGGAGAACGCCTCGTTGAAGGAGAAGATTCGCACGGTAAACGGGGAGATCGCTCAGCTGAAGCCGCTGGTTGAGAAGTTGAAGAGCGAGGCCAGGCAGCAGAAGGGAATGGTGGCTATCAACAAGAAGCAGTTGAGCACGGTGGAGGGGGAGAAAGGAAAGCTACAAAATGAAGTTGAGGGCCTTAATAAGGAGAAGGAGGAACTGGCTAGGCAGGCGGAGCTCGCCAGGCAAGCTAGCCCGGTGCAGCAAGTCACTAGTCCCGCCCTGTCCACTGCAAGTGGTAACAACCCCTTCTTTAGGAGGACGGGAAGTGCGGACATCAGCGCTGCGTTCGCTTCGAGGTCGATGAGCGGACAGAGTTTCGATGATGTGTTCGGCCCCTCGTTGAACGCCCCTATCCAGAGCCCGACGCCACCTCCTGCTGCTGTTTCTCCTGTTCCCCAGGTTGCGGCGTTCAAGGCGCAGAATACCGGCACGTCGACCGGTAGTTTCGGTTCGGGGTCGTTCGCTACGCCGGGCAGCACTTCGCCTACAATTTCAAGGCAGCCTACTATCACTGCTGAGAGCGCTGCTGCTCCTGGTGGTGCCTTCTCCCCATTCGGTGAGCCCAGCGGTAGCGGTTCTCGTGCCCCCTCGCGTCATGGATCCCAGGATCAGACTCCTGCTGCTGCTGCTCTCCCCATCGAGCCCGTTCAGACCGGCCAGTCTGCTACTTCCAACCGTCCCATGTCGCCTGCATCCACTACTAGCCAGTCTAAGGCCCCAGCCGCCCCCGTTGAGGCCGATCCTTTCGCTGTCAATACGGACGCTAAAGCCAAGGAGGACTTCGAGTCTGCGTTCGCTAGCTTTAAGAACTCAAATGCTAAGCCCGCTGCTGCTGCGGAGACTGCAAAGGCTGGTGGATTCTCCAAGTTTGACTCGGAGTTCCCGCCTATTTCTGAGCTGGAGCGGGACGATGAGAGTGATTCGGAGAGCGAGGCGGGTGAGGCGAAGGGCGGGTTTGGATTTGATGATGATTTCGCGCCTGCTAGCCCTCCGGTCAAGCCTCCCGTGAGCGCTGAGGCCGGTCAAGCCGAAGCAGTTGCTGCGCCGGCTGCTGCTGAGCCAGTTGCCAGGTAAATACGCTCCAGTACTGCTTTTTTCGCTTTGATACTTTTCGTTTTGCTCTTTTGGTTGGTGTCTTTTTTATTCAGTTTTGATTTGCCTGTATACCCCAGTTTTGTACAACGAAACAGCAAGACTGATCCGATCCGCTATACAGCGAGACATCCTCATTCACTACTGCCCCTGTCTCATCTCCAGCTTCTCCAGCTCCCCTAGAGGTATCTAACAACGAAAACAACAGCACCAGCGCCGCCGCCGCTAGCAACGCCGACCTCGACGATATCTGGGGCACTCGTTCTCCCGCTCCCGCCGCTGCTCCCGTTCCTACCTCAACCACTACTGTTACCGTCCCCGCTACCGCTCAACCCCCCGCTACCGCTGTCCCCGCTACTGCCCAACCTCCTGCTGCTACCTCCCAATCCTCCAAGGGTGCCTTCGACGACCTAGATGATGAATTCGCCGACCTCGAAGACGCCAAGGAAGGCAGCTCCGCCGACGACGTAGAGGACTTCGCCAACATTTCCCGCTCTGGGTTCGGAGATGACGGTTTTGGCAGCGGTAGCCAGTTCGGCTCTCCCCCGCCTAGCCAGTCCAAGAGTGATTTCGACTTTATCCCTTCCCACCAGGCGACTCAGTCTCAAGGATCGTTTGCTGCGCCAAAGGCGGATGCCCATGACTGGGATGCTATCTTTGCGGGTCTTGATGAGGGAAGCCAGGCTCAGCAGGGTGGTCAAAGTCCGTTTGAGAGCTTGGAGACGCCGAGACCGGGGTCGTCCGCCAACCCGCAAGCCCAAACTGGTGGGGAGCAGAAGGAGGGTGAGGGCAAGGAGCAAAAGAAGGAGGGTGGTGAGGAGAGGCCAGCACCGGGCAGAGCGTTGACGGAGTCTGGGGAACACGATGATCCGATTGTGAAGAACTTGACGAGTATGGGGTACTCGAGACAGGATGCGGTGAAGGCGTTGGAGAAGTACGATTATAATTTGGAGAGGGTGAGTTGTTCCTACACTGATCCAGGATGGGAGTAGGGTGTGGCCTTACTGTCCTTTCCGGCTTGAGGGAGTTCGCAGAGTTGATGGTATACTAACTGAAGTTGTCATAGGCCGCCAACTACCTTGCTAGCCAGTCTTAAGTAGACTCTGCGAGGCTAGGTGCGAGGTGATTTAATGGTCAGATCAGTGCAAAGACAAATAATGCGAGCCATGGCGACGCCAAATATCGAAAGGATTAGAGACATACGATCATATTGTGTGAAAGCAAGGAAGCAAGGAAGACCTCATATGGACGAACATGTGAACTAGGGATTGTTGGTTGGTTGGGTGGTTGCGGCAACGAAAAGAGTTGCGTTGCGTACTAGGTAAGAAGTCAAGTCAAGTCGGTCAAGTCGTTTTGATACCTCTATCATTTTTCATTTTCCTTTTAACAAATATCCTGTCTGTCTTGTCCCGTCTGTCCTGTCGGGACATGGAAGCTACGCTATCTTTCAATTTCTTTTCTGTTACTCTCTGTCTGTCTATCTACCCCAGCATGGCTAGCTGAGTGCTGCCACAAGTTTTTCTCTTTTTGTATGTTATGTAGTCGTACGGTAGTACTGTGTTAGTTGTAGTGGTAATATCAACGAGTGGATGTAGCCGCTTCTTCAGCGGTTATTGATGTTTGAGTCCGTTGCTTTGAGGATGTGATTATCAATAATGGGAGTGCAGGTCACCGAGGGTCACGAGAAACCGGAGTGAATGGGTTTGAATCTCGTCCCAAGTGAATGGTATGGACCGGCTCCAGCTCCGGGCAGGCTCCTGCCATGAGCAAACAGTCTTTTGTACCGGGGAGCCAAGACCAAGTCTGATAGCTACCTGTACCCACGCAGTACTTAAGGTCTGTGTGTGGAAGCTACAGTCATCAGACCACCGTGGGGACGGTAGTTCAGTCGTCAGATGCTTAGCTTCTCCTGGCTGTCGATCTCCCTAGTAGAAGCGGTTCGTTCGATCCCAGAGACGGGCGGACAACTTTTTTGCTTCCCTTTTTTTTTTTTTTTTTTTCTCTACCACCCTTCTCCTGTTACGGTTTCTCCGCTTCCTTCTTTTGGTTCTTCCATCACAATGCCTTTTAGGTTGTTCAATACCAGGCAACGCGTTGGAGATTACAATGACATGGTTCTCTGAATTGCACGTATTGACTCCTCAATCTCCTCGTCCGACGCGCCACTTCTGTTTGTGACTGCCCTCTTATCTACCTTAGAAGCAACGGTCGTTCGAACCTGTCCTCGGGCACCTTCGGACAACTTTTTTTGGTCAATTTATCAATAGCCCTAATAGGTAGGTATGCTTGGTATGTGTACATGTATGTGCCTGGAGTTTTCTCGAACGCCGTGTATTTCGGGTTTTATCATTATCTGGATCTTTGTTCAATCCTTGTAGAGATATCCAACGAAACGAAAAGGGTATGTGACCACCTACTGAACGCCTATACTCACTCAACTATTTTGCCAACAAGTATCTCAGTCATGTTCGCCCTGTTCCGTCCTTCTTCTCCCACTCCTCCCCTCCCCTTTTACTTTTTGTCCCCTTTTCCTTTTCCCCTTTACCACCTCCTCCCCCCTCCCATCCCTCCCCCTCCCCCAACCTCAACCGGAACACCCCCTCCATACCCCATCCCCACCCCCATCCCCACCCCCCCAGGGGCACCAGGGGCACTCATCTCCCCCAAAACATCCCTAACAAGACAAACATCATCCCACTCCTCCTCCGTCCAGTTCTCCCGCCCGCCTGTCCCCCAACTCCGCACGTTGCCCAAGATATCCGCCAACACGGCGTCCACCTGTCCCCGCTTTTCGTGAACCAGGTGCTGGTCCGACTCGTGGGAGTGGCTAAGGGCCCATTGTTCGAGGCGGAGCTCGAACATCCTGCGTAAAAGTTTGGTGGTGCGGCGGATGTCGGCTGCTGAGGGGGTTTGTTGTTGTGCTTGGGTTTGGGTTTGATTGTGTGGTTGGGGTTGGGTGGGATGGGAGTTGGAGGAGGACTTGGGGATGCCGGGGTGGAGGGAGGTGCGGTGGGCGAAGGATTGGAGGTTTTGGGAGTGAGAGCCGGAGGAGCGGGAGTGCCCGTGGGGAGGGGGGGAACCGCGCTCGGAAACGGGGTAGGGGGGTTGCACGGCGGGTTCATGTTTGTGGAGGACGTTGGTTTGGGTTTGAGTTTGTGGGGGGTATTGTTGGCTTCCGGTGGTTCTGTGTCTTGACGAAGAGAGGGGGTTGGTGAAGTTACGGTGTTTCGCAGCAGCCTGTTCATGTTCTTGGGGTTGGGGTTGTCCACCATGACCTTGACCGTGAACAGGTTGGCCTGGGTAGCGAGGGGAGTTGGGCTGGGCTGCTGCTAGATACCCCTGGGATTGGGTGTGCGACAGATGGTGAGGAGATGCCGGACCGGGACCGGGACCGGGGGAAGTGGCGGCGGAGGACATGGTGGACAAGGTTGTCACGCTGCTTCTCCCGAGACTGCTGTTGCTGCTTGTACTGCCGAAGTTGCTTAGACTCAGTCGGGAACCAAGGCTGGCGCTGCGACGGTCGCGATTGCCGCCACTTTGGTGGACAGCATCTTGAGGAGACAGATTGCCGCTGCTTCGATCATGATGCTGGTAGTAGGCGTTTGGATCATGAGGGTATTGCGGATTCGGTGGACCGGGTCTGGCCTGTACCGGGAGGGACATTCTGTTGTGGTCATGGCCCCGGTGGTGCTGCTGCCCCTGATGCTGCGGCGGGGCGTGATGGGTGTACCCATTTCCGTATTCATTTGCTGGCAGCTCGGAAATAGAACTCAAGCCGGGCGCCTGGCCAGAGTTGTTGGAGGAAAATGCGGAGGAGCCATTGGGAGTGTAGGAGTGGTAGCCTCCGTTGTTGGAGTAAATGCCGTTGGCGTTGAGATCGTTGCTGTTGAAGTTGTCGGGGGTGATGGGTTGAGGTTGAAGGTTGGCGGAGGAGGATTTGGGTTTGAGTCCAAAGACTTTGCGGAGTTTTAGGGAGCCGCCCATTTTTGAGGTTCTGGGGTTATTCTTGTTTGAATTGTGGCTTTGGTTGGCGAGGAAAACGTGAGTGTCGCGATGGCTTCTTGGGAGTTTTCTTGATGGCCCAGATGGAAAGCGCAGATGATCGTGAGATGTCTTCCACAAACTGTCTCCAAAACACGCCTCAGTGCTTGTGAAAATGGCTTGGAATGGCGAATTGAGTTTACAGCCAGACGTAACTGTTGAGTTTCGTTCTGGTTTGGATGATCAGTTCAAGATCTTCAAAAGGAAGAGAGTTTTCAGCACGCATAGCAGAGCAGATTCAACTTACACAGGGCCAGGTTGAGAAGTCCACAAGATCCCTATATCCCAAAGCCAAAAAGAAGATCAAAAAAACCAAGTTCTTATGAGATTAACACCCATCAACAGGTAGAGCCTTGTCATATTCAGCGCGTCCAACATGAACTCAGCCCGTCTCTCAACTTGGCAGCGGCGGGACTCGACAATAAAGCATCACAGCCAACGCTTCCCACTTCCCTTCTCGTCAATCAAGGAGCAGCCACCGACCTAGCCCCAGGCACTCACGTTACCATATGTGGCTCCAGTCCATCCGACTCGGCTTTCCACCACCACGATTTAGGCACACTCGTGAATCCTGGGCGCTTTCGCAGACAACCACCATCAGCATCGTGACCACCCACCCCGTCCTGTAAGCTGTCGGCTTTACCCCGTTTCCGTCCTGGCTCAGCGCACAGCCGAGTGAGTTGGCAACGCATTCCGTGAAGAAAGCTTTGTCTAGCACGCTTTGCATTGGACGAATGTCTAGTGAGGTTCAGTCCTGGATCGGATATGGGCTACGTATCAATAAAGTGGTGGTGTTCAGCTTCTGGCCAAAGTTCCTTGATGTATCGATTGTTATAGACGCACTGTGTCGCTCGGCTGTGGTCTGGGAGCGAACGAATGAAGAGGAAGTGATAAAGTGTGGCTTACATTGGCTTGTAGGGTCTCATTGGGTTTGCTGGGTAGACTCTGACATTGAACAATAGTTTATTGGGACTGCAGTTGATTGAATGAGGGGAAGGGAAAGAATGGAAGGGCTGAGGTCTTGGCTATCAACCTGGCGTCTCGCAGAGCATCCCGAAAAGGGAATGAGTGTGTAAGTGGTGTTATCGGCAGGCGATTCTTCAGTTGTGTCCCTGGATGTTTCCCGAGCTTGTGAATTGAAGTGTCAATGGCAGAGACGAAGAACAGAATCAAAATGTGAACAGGAAGCTTCCTTACGGAACGGGTACCCATTATCCAGTCTAGACTTCCGAACAATGCCTTTTGATGCAGTGGTATCATTGCAGAAATCCAAATTAAGATGTTCAGATAAACGTATCCCCTGCCCATACCACTGGTTCTCCATCGTGAACTCCAGCTCACTCCGACTTCCGTCCCTCAAATCATCAACATTGTGCCTCATCACACTGAGATATCAGATTCCCCTAACGGCACCTCCGCGCTCGCCAACACCTTCCCGCCACTCGTGATCTTGACCTCGCACTTCTCCGTGACATGAATCTCCACTTTGACCCAGAACTTGTAAAACTTTCCGACCTCCTTATTTGTGAACTCACTCCTATGCGTCTCTGGGACTTTGGTCAAGTTACACTTAAGCGTGACCACTGTGTCTCGGCCTATCTCACTGTCAGTTTTGTTTCTAGAAGTAAGGGGTAAGATGGGGGGGAAATAGGAATAATGTGGTATAAAGCGACAACAACGCATAACAAACCTTTGTTGATAGCAGCAAACCTGGTCGGCGGCTCATCCGCACTCGACGCAACAAACACCACCTCTCTAAAGACCTCCGCCGGCGGCGGTGGTGGCATGCTATTAGCACCACCCCGTTTGTCAAATCGCTGCGACATCAACCCCAGATTCTGTGCCGGAGCCCTCCCGGTCCCATTTTGCGCAGGAAAGTGCGTAGCCTTCATACTCCAATGGCAATCATACGTCGATACCATGGGCTTCCCAGGGAACAGGGCGTCCCCCTTGTTAATAAACCACCGAATCTGATCCGTCGCCCACTTGACTCCTTCCACATCCACATCGACGTCCGACGGCCGATGGGAATTGTAGGGGGCGTATTGCGTGCGGACTTTGATGCCGTAGTGCCGTGGGCAGGGACGGATCATTGGGGGCAGCGAGGTGTGTACCCCGAGGGATTTGATGATGGCGCCCCGCGTTACGGCGGACCAGCAGTCGTCGCCGCGGTCGACTTGAATACCGGTGGTCATGCCCCAGGCTTTGACGCGCTCGTAGAGGTAGGGGGAGCGGCCGAAGCCCCCGGAGAGGAAGATTTTGCGGATTTTGAGCTTTTGGATGATTTGGATGTGGGTGGCTGCTTGCCCGATGAGAACGAGGGTTTTGTCGACTGAGTGTTTGAACATGGTTTTTAGGTCGTCACTGATGTTGTCAGTATGGATTCCCACAGGCTGTCAAGTAATTGCAGCACTTACACAGTAATCTTGATAGCACCATTCATGATTCCACGCTCTTCATCATCTGTCGTACCGATTCCTCGTGGTAACTGAATCGGAAACCCGAGCTTCTGATCCTTGCCATCGAACTGATGCTTGATCCCCTCAAACCTCCCATGTAGCATGCGCAGCTTCGGTTTGATAATCGAGTGTCCGCCAGTCGCTTGGTCTTGCGAATCAGTCTCTATTAGCTTCTCCCAGTCCTCCGGCCCCAGCTTTTGTTCGATGAACTGCTCAAATGCTCGGTCGATACATGTGGCGCCGCATTTGTCGCCTATTGGGTAGCCGATTTGTTCGAGCTTGAACTGCTTCTTGTCAAGATCGAGGCTTACGACTTTATAGGAGGCCAGATCCTGGTCTTGTTAGATTGCGAGGATGTAAAATGATGGGAAGGAGGACGTACAACGGTACCACCACCGGCATCGACGACGATGAAGCAGTCATTCTTTCGAAAATTTACACGGTCCTCGCGCAGGGCTTCTCGTAGGGTGTAGTGGGCGCAGGCTTCGGGTTCGGAGACGAAGGAGAAGTTACGGATTTTGGGGAAGAGGTCGGCCTTGAAGGCGGCGCGGACGGCACGGTATGTTGAGTTTAGGGCTTTGTCAGACCATTTCTGTCGGTGTTAGTCTAGAGGCTTGCAAAAGGCGACAGTTCTTTTGTTGACTTACAGCAGGATGTGTGATCACCATGTCGATAGGGATATTGTCAGCAACCCTTCTTCCAACTTGGGTGCAAATCTCTTCCAGAGTCTGCTCAGCAATATTGTCGAGATAATCTTTGACAATATCCTCTGGCTCCTTGGCCAAATGCCGCGGAATATCGTTTCTGATGACAGCATCTTCGCTCAAGTCAAGCAATCGGATGCCGTAAAGCGTCTCAGCCAATGTCTTTAGCTCAGCACTTCGATTCCTCGTCTCTTCCAACTCCAGCTTGGTCCACTTGAGGACTCTGGAGTTGTCATCGATGTCGTACCCCCATTGCCGGCATCCCTTTGGCGAAGGTGAGTACGAAATCTCCGAAGGGACTTTCTCGGATTCGTGTGTTGGCCATCCTTGGAGCACCCGTATGTCATCGGCAAGCGCATCAAGGTCCTGGTCCTTTTGTCTCGAAGCGACAGAGAGGTAGGCAATCCCGCTAAAAGTCGTTCCATAGTCGAGGGCAACAACCATGCGCGTCTCTGGCGTAGGAATGTTTGCCGAGGAGAAATTGGGAAACCCGGGGGGACTATCGGTTCTGGACGGCGTTGCGGCCTCGTTCAAGGTATCTTGGGGATCATCATAGGCATCCCATTCATCCACGTCGTCCTCGCTTCTTCTTGTTGTTGATATGGGCGAGACCTCTCTCTTTGGGGTGCCTGGAAAAGCTGGGGAGGCGGAGAGGGAGATTGGCGGGGGAGGGGGAGGGCGAGTCGGTAGGGAGGACATGTTGACTTTTGATTCCTTCGGTACCGGTATGTCGCGGTAGTACTGTTCGATTTCCTCGCGGTCCATAGAACTTGACCGAGTGTTCAACTCGTCGGAGAGTGCAGCGCAAATATGACCTCTTCTGGTGTTCAATTGACAGTGAGCTCAAGGAAGCTTCCAAGCCCAATCTTTCTCCAACATCACCACCACAATCGCAGCCTTTCCTATCGTGGGCCGGCAAGGTGTTCAGCTTCCCCTCGTGGCTGCTCGTACCGAACCTTCCCCCCTCCCAGTCGCGCCGCCGCCGCCCCCTCCTCGTCCTCGTCGCGCTCAGCAACCATGAAGCGTCCAGTCCAGACACACCCCCTCGAGTCCTCTCCATGCAGGCCGAACTGACTGCTGCGAATGCACCGACAAGGCTGAGGTGCCATTTCATGCGGTTGCACATGCAGTTGCACAAGCGCTGCATCAATCTGCACCCAGCGCATATTGGGATCGCGGGTTGGCGAGGGCTGGTCGAGAATGCCCAAGTGGCGTCGACTAGTGATTTTCGGCATAAACCCAAACCGCCAAAGAGTCACAAGTCAGCCCATGTTGCGGACACGACAAAGTACCGCGAGGTCTTCAGCTGTTGCTTGGCACTGTGCTTCTCCGAATGGATTGAATGGGCGGTTGGGGACGACGAGGTGTGGTGGTGACATGGAAAGTTTTCAGCTGCGGGGTCCGAATGTTTTGGAGAAAGAGTGACTGACTGAGGAGAGGACAACACAAGACAAGCCACCCACACTCCGAGAGAGACCCTGGATCTGAATGAGACTGCGGATATGGCAAGCCTTCAATCACTTTGCCAGAAAGGCTGTGTGGTGTGGTGTTACGTCTCAACTGTTTACGCGGCGAGAGAATGGCAGGACGAGAAAACACATGCACTCCAAGATGTCAACGATCCGAAAGCCAACCCAACACTATCAAGCTTCACATATTCCGGCAATCCTATACACTCCCTCAAACACTCCATACCCTATGAACCATGAGTTCCAACCCCTTCTCTGCGGCGATCAGGGGCGTCAAAAAGAAGATAGATCCTGGCCGTTATGACGATGGCCATACCAAACGCACTTCTACCAACGAGCCGCTCACCCATCTGCCCGTCAAGACGCTCTCCAAGCTAACGCCGGAAGAGCTAAGAAACTATCCAAATGACCAGCTTGAGAGGCTTGAGCTTGATCGACTTCAAGTCCTCCCCGGCGAGACTCTTTCAAGATTGAACCCCGATGTCCTTGCGCGCCTGCCTTCTAAAACCATCTCGAGGCTCACCCCCGAGGCACTGGTCCAACTTCCAGCAGCCGTACTTGCTGAACTCTCGAATCACTTTCTGTCCGCGGCGCCTCCCGAAGTTCTCTTTCGCGCCTTGCCCGCCCTTGACTCGGATGATCTTCGTAAACTGAAGAAGGCCATTCATCGAATCGGCCATGAACGGTTGAGGCAACTTCCCCCTGACGTTATCAGAAGATTGCCAATCCCCGATATAGATGTACCAGCCCCCGAAAGTCCGCAACTTCCAATCCAAAAGCATGACATTTCTATCCACCGGTTGGACAAAGGGTTGCCGGCTATCCCGCAGTCGACGCACGACTTTGGCATGTCAACAGAGTATCTTGACAGTCGCTATGAGCAGCAGTCAGGAGTGATGTCCTTCAGTGCCCACTACAACACCGCCAATATCGACCCATCAGCCTTCCCTTCCTCAGCCGACCGGTCATACGCAAGTCCGCCATCTCCAACTCACACATACACCGGACGGAGCAGCCCGGCCGCTGTCAAGTCACTTGCCACTGTCCATACAACGACATACCCTCCAAAAACCTCGGATCACAGGCCACCGCATGCACCGAGAAGGAACAGCAGTGTTTCCAGGGGGTCACATACTCGGGCCCGTTCGTCCAGCCGCGGTCCTAAACCGGATCGGGAGCGGGAATACCAAGCCTATACCTCAGCGTGCCCACGTCCGGTAACAGTCGCGGAATATGGACCTACGAAGGTCTCAGAGCTTCCTAGAGATGTCTCTGAGCTGGGATTTCCAACAGCACCGCCAAGGTTGAGCTCTCACATCGATGATCTTTCCCCTTCAGAGATTATCAGGCGAGCAGAGACTTGGAAGGAAGAACACCGAGAGATCCCACGGAAAGAGACTCCAAGGGAATCTCGAGAGATCATCCCCAAAGAAGACCCCCGGTCCATGTCTCCAACCTCGACTTCAACCTCATCAAGCCCAGAGGTAGCCTCTTTCGCCGAACGCGAACGGGCTGCTCAGGGGCACATGATATCGAGTGCAAACGATGACGCCGGCTCGAACTACAAAGACCGAGTGATCAAAGACCATACAATCAGTGAGCTCAAAATGGAACGAGATAACCTCAATAACCAGCTTATCAACGCCAAAGCCAAGAATATAGCACTGTTAGACCGTCTGGACAAATACCTTGAGAGGAAAAGCCCGAGCAAAAAGCATACAGGCGACGCCATTGACGTGGTAATTGCTTATTGTGAAGAGCTCTGCGATGGCCATAGCAAGATTGCCAAAGCAAATAAGGACTGGGAAGATACTTGGCTGCGTGAAAAGAAGCACCGCCAGGAGGTAGAGGACCAACTCGAAGAAAAATCTCGGCGGTTGCGGGTTGCTGAAGACAACCTTCTTGGTCTGCAGAGCAAAGTGAATGAGTACAGCCAGCGAGCCACCGAGCTTGAAACCCAAGAAAGCTCCCTCCGCAACGACCTCGGCCGTCTCGAGCGCGAAAACAAGGAGCTCCATAAACGCTGTGAGAACCAAAAAGCACATTCCGACGCTGTCATCAAGAAGATCCAACATGAGCACGAGAGCAACGTGGCTCAGCTGCGCCAGACCGCAGCGGACCATGACTCCCAAATGCGCTCCCAGCAGGATCACCACGAATCCGAGGTCCGCGCACAGAAAGAATACTATGCTCAAGAAATGCAAAAACAAAGGGTGTACTACGAGGGCCAGGTCAACTCCCTCCATCAACAGCTCGCCGACCAGTCCCAGTCCCACCAGACGCAGCTAGCCCAGGCAACAAAAGACCTGCAAGACACCATCACCAACCTCCACTCGCAGCACCAGCAGGAACTCAACCGCATGGAAACCGCCTTCAACGAAAACGTCGCCGCGCTCCAGACCACTCACAACCAACAAATTGCCGCGCAGCAGAAGAAGCACGAGCAGGATATCCAGCGCTTGAACAAGAAGCACGCGCGCAACGTCGTCGACCTTCGAGAGAAGGTGCAGAGTTTAGAGAACGATTTGGTAGGGAACAATGACGATTTCCGTCCGGCCACCGACGATAGCCTCAAGATCCAGTATCGCCAGTTGAAACTGTGCATTGATATGGTTACTGAGCCTATCAACTTGGGCATCAGCGGGGTACCGAGGAACTTGGGCAAGTTAGATCCAACGAGGTTCTTGGAGAGGGAGGGTAAGAATCAACTGCGTTTCCTGCTGAGGAGCGTTGTCTGGCAGAAAATTGTCGAGGGGTTCTTTTCCGAGCCGTTTGGATTCGGGGCGTTGGGGAGGGGAGAGGGGAGGGAGGTGTTGAGGGGGGTGGTGGAAGGGTGGAGGGGGTTGTGTGGTTATGATGACGGGTCTTTGTCGAATGGAAAGACGGGTAAGTCTAGCCACACATCCCCATCCCATTCTTGCTTCTCGTGATATTGACGGAATGAAACTAATACCACCTCACCCAGCATCCCGATCAACAACAACAGACACCGACCTTCTAACCCCCTTCTTCCACTCCCGTGAAGCCAACAAATGGCGATCCGCCACCTTCCAATCCATCCTCATGGCCGTTGCCCCCCCTTCGTCCTCCATGTCCGGCAACAAGTCCAACTCTCGAAAAGGCCAACAACAAGCGCCCAGCCCCAGCAGCACCCCGGGCCCCCCAGAACATCCCATTGCCACACCTTACTACGCCAATATCAACCAAGTCCAATCCCAAATCGTCGCCCTCCTCTCTTCCATTTGCTCAGAAACCTTGTCACCTGAGATCCAATCCAAAGTATCCGAGCTGGCCCGCCAAGCCGGAGAATTAGCCCTCCAATTCGGGGCCCAACGGGCGCAGCTGGGGTTGGAGGTGCCGAAGAGGGGAGAGCAAGTGAAGATTGGCACGGAGTCAGGGTGGGTGGATTGCGAAGACGGCGATTCTTTTGGTGGGAGAAGGGGGGTGGAGGTGGAGGTTGACTTGTGTGTGAGTCCGAAGGTTTATAGAGTGGGGGATATGGATGGGAGGAACATGGGGGATAGGAAGGGAGCAAAGGTGAAGGCGATTGTTGCTGGGGAGGTTTATCCTAGGCGGTCGTAGGGCTGATGACGGGATGGGTGTGATGGGAGTAGAAAGAGGGGAAGAGGGGAAGAGGGGAAGAGAAGAACAGGAGATAAACTGAATTCAAGTTCGTTTGCACTGACGGCACTGACCGAAAAATAAACAGAAGCATAAAGAGGAATGAAGACATCATGCTCTCATTACCATTCATCATAACATCATTGAGCCGCCGAAACCCCCAAAACACTAAAACACCAACCCCAACATCACAACCAAAACAAATACTTACCCCCACCTACCTACATCAACCCCCCACTCAACAACACACTCTGCCCCGTCATGTACCCCGTCTTCACCAACATCTCCACCACATTCCCCACCTCCTCCGTCGTCCCCAGCCTTCCAACGGGGATATTCTTCACATCTCCCGGCGTCCCCTCCACAAACTTTGCATCCGGAATCATGCCCGTCTCCCCAATCATGGCCGGCGCGACATCATTAACCGTGATGCCCTGCCCCGCATGCTTCCTCGCCAGGTTCTTCATCAACCCTTGCAACCCAGCCTTGGAAGCAGCGTAATGACACCCGTTGATGCCACCACCTTGAGCGGCAATGGAAGAGACGAAGATGATGCGGCCCCAGTTGCGCTGGATCATATGCGGGAGGGCCAGTTTGCAGAGGAGGAAGGACGAGCGGAGGTTGATGCTTAGCATCTTGTCGAATTCGTCGAGGGAGATGTCCAGAATGCTGGGGATGCGTTTGCCGTAGCCGGCGTTGCTGATGAGAATGTCGGGGCCGGGTTGGCCGTGCAGGTCCTGGAGCTGGGCGAAGAGGAGTTGGATGTCTGTTGGCGAGGACAGGTCGCATCTGTGTGTCGACATCGGAAGGGGGTTGGGGTTGGCGGACGCACGTCCAAGGGAAAGGGCTGAGTCGTGGGCGGTTTGGCCGTTGGAGAAGGCTGCGTAAAGTTGTCCCTCCAGGGCATTGAGCTTCTCGGGTGAAGAAGAATAGGTGATGGCGAGGTGGGCTCCGAGAGACCAGAGGCGACGGGCTATGGCGGCGCCGATGCTAAACGAAAGGAGTGAGTCAACTGCACTGTCATCTAGGCAACAGGCTGGCCGTTGACACTGGTCTGGAGTGGTAATGCTTCCAATTTCGCCTGATGAGAAACTGAGTAAGACGGGGATGGTGTAATTTACCCTCCGGAAGCGCCTGTGATGAGGACGAGCTTGCCCTTGACTTCGTTGTCAACTTGGGCCATGGCGTGTGGTATGACTGCTGACGACTTCCCTTGGCAAGAGAAATTACAGGGAGATGAGCGTGGGACAGTCGGGGCAAGAGCGAGAGACAGTCGAGTAAGACGATGAAGACAAAGATGAAGAAGAGGAGGAAGTTGTCGTCGACTTGACAACGGGCCCCGCCTTCCTTTTATACACTTTCCGCTTGGAACATGTCCATCATGATGAGACCATGACTGGCTGCTGCCTGGTTCTCCGTCACCGGTTAAACCACGTGCTCATCGGCGCTCAAGCTCGCATCGAGCTAGATGTCACATGTCATGGGAGTAGTAGTTGTTCATGTTGGTATGCTGTGTAAGAAGAGGAAAGGAAGAGGTCGACTGCGGAGAAGAAGCCGCCAATCAGCGGGGAATAATAAATTGACCAATCACATCCGCGACCGGAATCGAATGCGGACAAAAGCCGGTGGTCCCCGCTTCCGACCCCGCCCCGTCCGTCCAACGGCCACCGTGGGCCGTCCGTGGGGGCCATATAAATTTTGGCAGGTGCTAGCGGAACTGTGTTTCCACCGGATACCGGATCGGTGATCGACAGACGGCATTGGCAGGCACGGAGCAGACTCCTGGAGCAAGACTCTATTTTATTATTCTTGGCGGGTTTTCATCTGCAGCAAGTTGTTTCACAAATCAGCTCAGAATTCCCCACGAATACCAACGGGAGATCGCGATTCTTCATTGCCCTTGCGGTTTTTGGATATTTCAAGGCTTGGCCAAAGAGGTTCTCACCAAACGGGAAACCACAATTTGGTTTGTCCACCATTTCAGTCAGACCAGTCATCCATCCACCGACACATTCCAGGCGTTCACATCTCCAGTCAGGACTTGGCATCAGTCACTCACTCTGTCACGAAATTGCTCGAGGAGTCACCGTGGGCCTCAGTGTCTGCCCGTTCTCTTATATAAGTCGAGTCTTCTTGGCAGCCCAAGGTTCCAAATTCCTTGACCAACATCACGACCCAAGGTCTCCTCAAAACGTCTCTCTCCGGTCTCGCTCAAAGAAAGCCATCCATACACCATCTATTGTCAACACCCCAACCACAAAAATGGGCACCCCCTTCATCGCCACCCTCGAGCCTCCCGGCATCGCCCTCTCCCCCTGGGACGGCTCCCTCCCCCCTTCCCAGCAAAGCCCCTCCACAACCAGCACCGTCCCCAAAACCTTCCTAGACGCCATGTCCATCCGCGAGTCCGTCTTCATCAACGAGCAACAGATCCCCACCGAAAACGAATTTGACGCCAACGATCCTCGCTCCGTTCACTTCGTCATCTACGCCTCTATCAACCAAGTCGTCCAGCAGGAGGAGAGGGACGCTGACAGTGGGAGGGTCATGAGGCCGAGGAAGTCAGAGACAAGGTCGGTGCCGATTGGCACGGTCAGGATAGTGCCGTTTCCTCATGCTCCACACCCGGTTAAGGGCGGACGGTATCTGGCTGATGAGTTGGTGAACTTGGAGGAGCTGGACTCGGAGACTAAGAAGGCGTTGGAGAGGGTGGAACAGGGTGGGAAGGATCGCAAGACAAGCCTGCACGACGGAGAGGAGGTCTACATGAAACTGGGCAGACTGGCGGTCTTGAAGGAGTTTCGCGGTCGTGGCATCGCAGGCCAGTTGATCAGGCGCGGGTTGGAGTGGATGAGACAACATCCGAGGTATTTCAGCCCGTCAGTGAAGGAGAGGGGGTTCGAAGCGCTGGGAATCGATCCGGAAAGGGACGCGAGGATGATGCCTAAGTGGCGGGGTCTGTTTTGCGTTCATGCCCAGGTCAGCGCCATCGGTGCTTGGAAGAGGGCTGGGTTTGTGGTGGATGAGGAGATGGGAAGGTGGTGGGAGGAGGGGATTGAGCATGTTGGCATGTTTTGTAGGGTGGATGTGAGGGCGTAGGTGTATCTGTCGGAGTCTGGGCAGAGGGTGGAGGGACATGGGGGGATATAGAATGAAGGTGTTGGTGTTGGTAGTGGATTTTGTGACAATATTTCCTTCCTATTAGCGGGTGTTTGTGACATTGATACCATAAAAAAAGGTGATGGGAAGATGGGTCAAAAGGGCTAGAGAAAGCCTTTAGTCGTTGTATCACTTCATGGCAAAACAACAGCCCTCCTAAAACTGACACAAGGGGAACTATGAGCAGCTAGAATTCGTGGCGGTCTCGTCGAGGGGAGCCAGAAGTGGCAGATGACTTAGACATGTTGTTGGAGCCGGGTAGATTCTGCGACAATGTTTCTTTGCGGTTAGCGCTTGTGATATGTTTCATCATACAAAAAGAGGATAGGGACGTCAAGTCTTTGAAAGTAAAAAGGAAGGGGTCGAAATCGGTGTTCGGTCGTTCAGTCACTCATGGCCAAACATACGTCATTGATGGAAAGAAAAGGGGAATCATAATTTCACCGAATCACCGGCGCCTCGAGGTATATGCACCTAAGATCTTGTCCGCAAATCCACGTTTTCCTCTCATTCAATGTCTGAGAGCCCTTATTGAGTGCCTGCCTGTTTTGACCTAATTGCCGTAGAAGAACCGTATCCTCCCAGACCCAGTTCCCTTTTAACGCGCAACAAATGCAGCCGTAGGAGCAGCCGAGCAAAACATGCCGAATAGAATCCGTCCAACAACCCCAAGCACCCAACAAGTTTCCCCCATACACCTGCAGCCAGCCATAACCATTTTAACGGTTGGACTTGGCAACACGCTCGAGCTCATCCTTCTTCTTGATGGCGTAGGAGTTGGAGGAGCCCTTGGCGGCGTTGATCAGCTCCTCAGCAAGGCACTCGGCAATGGACTTGACGTTGCGGAAAGAAGCCTCGCGAGCACCGGTGGTGAGGAGGGCGATGGCCTGGTTGACACGGCGAAGGGGAGAGACATCGACGGCCTGGCGACGGACAGTACCGGCGGAACCGATACGGGTGGAGTCTTCGCGGGGACCGCAGTTGACGATGGCGTCGACGGCGATCTGGATGGGGTTCTGGTCGGTCATGAGGTGGATCTAGATATCGTGTGTAAGTGTCTGGCTTATCGCTTATTGCCCAAGTTATTTCGGCGGGAGTCTTACGATCTCAAAGGCGTGAGCGACAATGCGGACAGCCATGAGCTTCTTGCCGTTGTTGCGACCGTGCATCATGAGGGAGTTGGTGAGACGCTCAATGATGGGGCAGTTGGCCTTGCGGAAACGCTTGACGGCATAGCGACCAGCGGAGTGGGGGAGGTAGACGGGAGAACGGATCTGGATGTAGTCGCTGTGTAGATGTTGGTCGTTAGCCCTCCGTTCGCGTGTGTGCCTTGTATCATCTTTGCGACCAAGATGGATGTTTTCCCAAGTTCCCTCCAAGTCCTCCAAGCGAATTGCCGATTGATCATGACTCCCAGCAGATTTCCACAATTTCCCAACTCTTTCTTGTTCTTCTCTTTCTCGCGTACATGTTCGTCGTATCGCGTGTCGTAGCCAATCTCAAGGGGCGTGTTCTTGGTGTTTCTGTGTGTGTGCATCATCGGACGGGTTGCGCTTACGTCAAAGAGATATCCCTGATCTCGACATCCTCGTAGCTCCAGCGGTCTGAAGTCGCAAAGTTAGCATGACGACGCCCATGTGCACTTTGCGAGGACCGTAGAAAACATACTGAACAGCTTCACACTGCCAACCTCAGCGAGGACCTCCTTGGGGAGGACCTCATACTGGGAAACGGCCGCGACGTCAACTTCTCCCTCAGACATTTTGATTGCTGTTCGGTGGCCGGACTGCAAAAGGGGACCCTCGTGGTAATTGGTGGTGAAGTTGGCCGTGAGTTCGGACAGGATAACGTCGAAAGGGTGGTCGTTCGGCGAGCGGAGAGTGACGGGTCGTCGTGGGAATTTTTTGGTGGCCCCGCCTCAGGTGGTCAAGCCCCAATCTGCCGCTACGAAGCCCCAAAAGACCCGGTTGTGCCCCAGTTGTGCGGTCCGTGCACAGCCACTCTGGTTGCCGCATTGGGGGAGCAAATTGGTTAGGGCTCAGTTGACCTAAGCTTGGCCTGGCGCGCACCCGTAGTCACTGGCTGGAGTGTGTGCGTGCGCAGAGACCAGCCCAGCGCCCGAGCCACACTGCCTGCGCGCCGACCAGAAAAATCTCCCCGCCTTTTCGTTGCGCAGAGGAAAAGACGTTGAAGCCAGGACTGTCTCTCCCTCTCCCCTTCATCACCAAACCACCAGAACTCATCATTCAAAATGGCTCCCGCCGCGTCTGGTGCTAAGAAGCAGAAGAAGAAGTGGTCCAAGGGCAAGGGTAAGGAGAATCTCTGTCCATTTTTCGGGGTCGTCCTTTTCGGCAGATGATGATGGCTTCGCGACTGTCGCCGTCGTGGTCATTGTCGCTGTCGTGATGGCGCCCCCGACAACAACAACAAGTCTTGGTCAAATTCACTGACACACACCAACAGTCAAGGACAAGGCCCAGCACGCCGTCATCCTTGACAAGTCCACTTCCGACAAGCTTTACAAGGACGTCCAGTCCTACCGCCTTGTCACCATCGCCACCCTCGTCGACCGTCTCAAGATCAACGGCTCGCTTGCCCGCCGCTGCCTTAAGGACCTCGAGGAGAAGGGTCAGATCAAGCAGGTTGTTGGACACAGCAAGATGAAGATCTACAGTACGTCTCTCTCGCCCGGTTGAACCGACGACATTCGATTTCGACCAGACACATCCCCGAGAACGATCTGGCTAACATGCGACTTCACAGCCCGTGCCATTGGCGCTGACGAGTAAATGTTCAAACACCCGACGGTTTTCTTGACATGACGGACCGGCAGACTTGAAAAGGTGGTTCGTCAGCGACAAGGAGGGGTTTGACTTTTTTGATCGGGCTATGTACTCTGGTGGGAATGGTCAATCTTTGCATGCACAATGCACACGGTGTAGCATTTTAGTGGGAGGGGAATCGGGAAGTGCTCCTCAGATTCTTTACACAATCACACTGGGATTTTGCATCGATCGGAAGATACGAACGGAACGACCAATATCACGACAAACGAACGGGGAAGACTCGGCTCCAATCTGCCTGGGAAAGAGTTGGACCTGAGTGCGATGCTTACGTGCAAGCCGTGTGTGTGCGCGCGCCTAGTCCGATGGGAATAGCTTGTCACGAGCAGTTCTCTATGATACCCCAATCCAAGGAGGAGGACAGAAGGACTAGAGGTGGTAGAATAGGAAACTAATTTACTGCCTCAAAGCAACATCCGAGTTCACATGATGCCAGTGACGTATGTGTATCGATATGATATATGGGTGTCTGGATGGGATTCTCCATGGCCACTAGTCCAGCCCTATGATGAACTGGTCCCATCTCAATGGATGACGGTGCTTGGCCGCTGAGGTATTCGGTGACGATAATGGAAGTGGAAGCTAAAGACATTTCTTATCGAGTGCCTCTTATCAGCCAGACTCCATCGAACAGTTGAAAACATCTCGGCGAAAAACAGCCCCAACTTCAGGAGCTCCTTCCACTTCATGCAGGGTCAGCTCCAGTAGGTCACATCCTTCCTCACACAAGGTTCCCATACTCCCACTCGGGTCTGATTCGATGCCGCTGTTCATTTCATTTTTTCCCCTTCCTCCTTGAGATTTTCCTCTATCCAGCCGGAACACATTGCCTTACATACCATATCCACATCCTGAGTGAGGACGTCACGGTTTGCTCCTCCAGACAACATTTGCAGTATCAGAACTCAACATTTCCCCCCTCTTTCCGGTCTTCTATACGTGTATATGTTCATTATATCTGTGTGGATTCGTGATGCATGGATGTAATAGGTATCCAGCATCAAACGGTAAAGCGTGGGTCATTTCACTGTCTCCTGTGGTCTCAGCATCAAGCACATGGGTCAATGAGCGATGGCTCCAAGTTCTAACATGAAAACAGCCATAGGAAAGCTCGTAATTTCATCTTTGTATTTACGTGTCTTTCGAGGTGCCTCTGTTTTTCCAGTTGCTTGGCACAACCAGTTCGGAAGAGTAGGTACCTCTATCGTTAGACTCGCATCTGCTCTTTCTGTTCAAACGTCGACTCCCGTGTCGGATTGTGTGAAGTCAGACTCAGGAACATCATGACTTCTTCCGTTGGCTTTGTGACAAGCTGAGCATCTTGGGTGAACTCTGAAGGCCTCACGGCGAACCAATGAGTTCACTCGTTAGCAGCCAAGGTTGACGGCATGACCGTTGAACATGGTGAAAGACGGCAGACCAGGCGGCAGACCGGTTACACCCAAGCATACTTGCTGACCCATTCTTCTCTTTTGTATAGCGGGAAGGTGAGCCTCAGATACTGTCCATGTGCTTGCAACCATCTCATCCTGTAAAGTTTGTCTGCTGGTTTGTTCATGGACTGTTGAGACTTGAGAGCACGTGAAAGCTTGATACGATTGAGGTTATCTCCAAGTCCGGTCCAGCGTCCCGGACCTTGTCGGCTTGGCATGAACGGACCCCCTCCGGCCGGCACCTTGATGGATTGTGGACTTCATTGGGCATTGGAGCCAGTGGCACAGATAGGCCATGTTGCCGCCACCGTCTTCCTCTTCACTCCTCGTATTCAGTGATATTCAACTACATGTCGGACTCACCGTCAAGACCGTGTCGCCTGGGCCCAGAGAGCTGTTGGAGCTTTGCCATTGACGGGCTCTCATTGACCGAAGCTGTTGCCCCGAGTTGCCGCCCGTTTTGCCGTCGTCGTTTGCCACATGCCCGCCTAGAGCCTGCTAGCGATGGCCTAGTGGTTGCTGCTAGCGATGCCACTCGGGCGGCTCAGCGGTTCTGGATGTGAACAGGAGGGGGGGTGCACAATTGGTGCTGAAAAAGTTAAGGCCGGGGGCTGCAGCATGACGTTGCAATTCCACTGAACCTGGGACAACAGCGAAAAGGGAAGTTGAACTCGTGAGAGATGAAGGATTCCCTTGCGATCCCTCATGGCCATGGGGAAGTTCTGGAATATTCAGACTCGGATGTCGTGGAGGTGACAGTTTCGGAAGTTGAGATCACCGAGTATGGATGTTTTCCGTCCCGTTTGCATGACAGCCGAATCTCTGCCCGTGGGGACGGGAGTTCTGGGTTCGTAGCAGGGCGGCTCCAGTTGTCTGCCAAGGAATCTGACTCGGGTCTTGGCCAACGCAAAGCGTGAAGGGTGTTTGTTGGAGGGGGACGAGACTGGGGAGCGAGGTGGGGGGACGGGGAGGGGGGTTTGAAGTCGGAAGGCTCCTTTCGAAACGTGGGAATCCCAAGACAGTGGGTGATAGCGAGTTCTCAGATACCGTCTTACCGATGTCGACAGCTCCATCCATCCTCCTGTTTGAGACGACGTAGCCGAGGGCATCAAAAGTTCAAAGGCAATGAACGGTGAGAACGAAGAGGCGGTCGGCTGCCAACTATATGTAAATGACCAGTTTCACAATGGCGGCTGGCGTCTCGCTGCTGGACTTCGTGGCACCTCAAACACACACGACCTCGAAGTTACTGAGGGATAATTGATACGTGTAATTATAGCCAACGAACAAATTGGGCTCTGATGCGTCCAATTGGGTGACGATGCTTTGGTTCTTGTTACAAGATTGACTGGAGCCTTTCGGGCTTTACCGGCAGTGCAGGAAGCCTGACTGTCACCGCGGGACAGGCAAGAGTGGCATGAGCTGTCAAGGGCTGCCAGCAGCTGCAAGGTTGCCCAATCTGGTCAAGGTGCAAGAGAATGGTCCGTGCACGGTGCTTGAGCAGCCCAGCCAGGGGACCGGGAAGATTCGGTGGGCTAGTAGCGGCTGGCGCCCACACAAAAGTAAAAACTGGGCCTGCTTCCTTGTCTCCGCTGCGAAATTTTTCGTCGGCCCCCCCTTGGAGCCCCAGACCCCCAGTCGGCCGCAGAATATATTCTCGCGACTTTCTTCCTCTTCCCTCGTAGCAGAGCTTGGTCTTTTCTCTCCATCTCCACTCCTCTCTTTTTACAGCAAGGAAAGGAATATCACAATGGCGGAGCAACAGAAGGTTTTGGGCATGCCGGTATGTATTCTCCCGCTCTATCGCCCAGCACGTCGATGATGTCGTCGTCGTCGTCGTTGTTGTCGTCATTTCCCTGGTCGGGCAGTCGAAGCAATCCTCCACCGCGACCTCAGCCAGCCTTCGCAGATCATCGCGCGATAGCAATCAACAACAACCATCAATCAGTCGGTCGACAATGATGGTGATTGTTCCTGCGCTTGATCTATCGCAGCTAGGTCATTGCGTTTGCATCTCGACTACCACCAGGGAATGCGGGGACACGACCTGACATCTGTTTGCTTATCGCGACATGACAACATGCTAACATTTTCCCCTTCTACAGCCCTTCGTGGCGGACTTCTTGATGGGTGGTGTCTCTGCCGCCGTCTCGAAGACTGCTGCCGCTCCCATTGAGCGTATCAAGCTCCTCGTCCAGAACCAGGTACGTTCCGATAATTACCTCATTCTCTCATTACCGACTGGAGAGGCGAATATCCTTGGGCGCTGTGATCCGCGCGTGCGGTAGCAGTCTCCCCAAGTTTATCTGGGCTGTCACGTGCCACCCCTCCACCGTCAGCGATGCGAGAACGAATACCTCTTCCACATCTACGATAAGGTATACTAACAACCCCCTAGGATGAGATGATCCGCGCCGGCCGTCTCGACCGCCGCTACAACGGCATCATCGACTGCTTCAAGCGCACCACCGCCGATGAGGGTATGATGGCCTTGTGGCGTGGCAACACCGCCAACGTCATCCGTTACTTCCCTACCCAGGCCCTGAACTTCGCTTTCCGTGACAAGTTCAAGCAGATGTTCGGCTTCAAGAAGGACAAGGACGGCTACTGGAAGTGGATGGCTGGTAACCTTGCCTCCGGTGGTGCCGCTGGTGCCACTTCCCTCCTCTTCGTCTACTCCCTCGACTACGCCCGTACCCGTCTCGCCAACGATGCCAAGTCCGCCAAGAAGGGTGGTGAGCGTCAGTTCAACGGTCTCGTCGATGTCTACCGCAAGACCATCGCTTCCGATGGTATTGCCGGTCTCTACCGTGGTTTCGGTCCCTCCGTCGCTGGTATCGTCGTCTACCGTGGTCTCTACTTCGGTCTCTACGACTCCATCAAGCCCGTCCTCCTCGTCGGTGACCTCAAGAACAACTTCCTTGCCTCTTTCGCTCTCGGCTGGTGCGTCACCACCGCCGCTGGTATCGCCTCTTACCCTCTTGACACCATCCGTCGTCGCATGATGATGACCTCCGGTGAGGCCGTCAAGTACAAGTCTTCCTTCGATGCCGCTTCCCAGATCATTGCCAAGGAGGGTGTCAAGTCTCTCTTCAAGGGTGCTGGTGCCAACATTCTCCGTGGTGTCGCCGGTGCTGGTGTCCTCTCCATCTACGATCAGCTCCAGGTCCTCCTCTTCGGCAAGGCCTTCAAGGGTGGTTCCGGTTAAATTTCCCAACCTCAAATGTATTAAACTTTGAAGTTGAGGAGATGACCCTTTTTGGGATGGAGATCAGACCGTTTCTCTTCGGGATCTATCTCTGACGGAGGGTTTCGAAAAGGTTGTGATGATGGACTCAAGCGTTGAGCCATTGTCCGGTTGAGGAGGAGGTTTCGCGGGCTATATACCAATTCCCCGCTGTAATACAAGATCCTTAGCTGTTCCCCCATGTGTATTCCCCTTTGCCTCTGGCAACATCATCTTTCCGCCGTTTCCTTTGCATGCGTCTCATAGATCCCCTTTGACGATAGTTTGGCGAATTCATGGGTTTCCTTTCCGAACTGCGTTTATCAAACAAGTGATTGTGCATTAGTTGCCTTCGAATACGTGAAATGCATGCGAACATCTGAACATCTGAACATGTAGATTTTGGTCTGGGTTCTCTGGCTCTGACCGACCAGTTACGTAACTACGATTTGGGGCATCTTTGTCGCGTCGCGTCTTCCAGCGATTGAACTTCCACCACCACACATCTTCCGAACGCACCTCTTGACTTGCGACAGCTTTGCGCGCTCAGCTTCTACGACTGCCCTTATAACGACTTACGCCGTACCCAATTCCTGAACTTGGCGCCTTTCCCTTCTGCTCTACCCGCCTTCAGGTATCAGCGACAGATCAGTCACAATGCCTCCTAAATCTACCTCCGCGGCCTCCAGCAGCCGTCGCGGTAAGCCTTCCATTTCTCGCAGTCGCATTTGGTTCAAATTCGCTTCGAAAATCCAACCGAAAGCTAACATGGCCTTCACAGCTCCCACCGGCGCCAAACGTGGCTCTACCTCAGCAGACCCCTCCTCCTCGAAGCGACGCCGCGAAACAACAGACACGATCGAGCTCGCCTCCGACCAAGATGATGAAGACCTCGAGATGTTCGATCACAGCCGAATCAACAATGACGTTACCATGCTTGGCTCCGACGACGAAGAAGAACAACCAGACGTGGACACGAATCGGTTCCGACGACGACAGATGCAGCGCAACAACCAAGACTCGGACGCTGACGACTCAGATCGGTATCAACCACAGCAAGATTCAGACGTGGAAGAGCAACAAGACGAAGCAGAGGACTCGGACGAAGAGGAACGGCCCACGGTCCCCTCGGAGCTGCTCACGAGGTTATTGTACGAGTTCTTCGAGAGCGACAAGACGAAGATAACGAAAGACGCGAACGAGGCGGTGGCGCGGTATGTGGATATCTTTGTGAGGGAGGCGATTGCGAGGAGTGTAGTGGAGAGGGAGGGAGGGAATGGGACGACTTCTGGGGGAGGAGGGTTCTTGGAGGTGGAAGACTTGGAGAAGATTGCGCCTCAGTTGTTGTTGGATCTTTGATATGTTGAAGGGAGACAAAGGGAGGGTGCTGCTGAAGTGGAAGGCTGCTGGAGTGGGAGGCTGCAGATGCGCCTCGAGGATTGGAGTTGGCTAAGCATCTCTCTGAGGTCTGGATTCGACTTTATGCCTTCTATTCAGTCGGCACTTGGCCATCTCAGCTTGACCTAGAGTAGCATCATCGTACAGGCATCCGGCGGAGCTCTACCTGCTCACTTATCAAGCTATTTACGCCTGTCAAATGGAGGTTATAGGGCACCCGTTGTGCCTTGCGAGGACTCTTTGCCATACAACGCCGGTTGACGATAGACAGTGGCACAAGCAAGTGGAAGGTCAAGAGAGGGACTGGAGGGCAGCTAGTGTGAGCTGTACGGCTCAAGCTCGAAGAGATTAACGGTCATTCGCCAGTCTAAATGGGAAGTGTGGTAGAGGAGTCCAAAACAATGTTCGTTTGTTTCAACAGACATCGTAGAGGTAACTCGACAGTCGACGATGGCAGATGGCTAATGTAGCAAGGCAGGCTCCCAGTTTTCAATGCTCGAAACAACTTGAACAGGCCCTGCTAGACATGTGTAGGAAACCACATGTTTTCCATCGTCTTTTCCATCCATATCAGCTTCCCAGCCTTCACTGTGTTATGAAGGGAGAAAGGTCTAGACCGTCTAATCACCGAGACCCCCAAAGCTCAGGCCCCGTCATAGCTCGCGATATCACGACTAATGGAATTCGTCCCAACACCCAATCTGGCACTTTGACATCTCCGACATCGCCTCTCGGAACGATGAGATTCAGCAAGGGAAGATCTGGAAAGTTCTAACTGAGTCGTGGTTACTGAAACCGGATCCGTGTATCAGATGCGTCGCAGATCCCTTTGGTGATGGTCGGCTCCCGGCTGTGCTCTGACCCCTGGCCACAAACGGCCCCTGGCGCTTAGTAGCAGGGATCCGAACCTTAATTCGGCTTTTCTCTTTCTCTTTACTTGGCTTTCAGATTTTCGGTATCGCGAAGGCGAAGATATAATGGGCTTTGGCTTGATGGAGTGGCTCATACGGGTGGCTAGGTGGCAAAGTGTCACAGAGATATCAAGATCGCAAACTTCAACTGAACCCAATCCAGCAATAGGATCTTCGCAAAGCAGACAGAGTGACACTTTCCTTTCATTCCCTCACCAATATTCCACTTCCCTTCGTTATCATGGAGGCATTCAGACGCATTCTTTACAAGACCCAATTCGCCTATCATTCTCTTCTCTACAGATGCCGGTACGAGCTTTACCACCGTACACGCTTTACAAGGTTGGGTAGAAATCCAACCTATCTCAAATTCGCTACAGCCATCGTTTTCGTTTCGACTTCTGGGACTATACCGAGGTGCTTGGATTGAAAGATAAGGAAACGAACTTCCGAGGAGGACAAACTAGCTTTTCAAAGAGCAATACTCTTTTTGCTATAGCACAAAGTTGGTGTCTTTTTGTTGTAAGTGTACCCCCAGCTGATATGCCCAGTCCCTGCTCCGGAAACTCCAAACACCGTGATGTTTGGCTACTGCGGAGCCTACGGTTCCCCTACCCCAGAACTTCAACTCCTTTTGTCGATCGATGAAACCTGACATTTTGCTAACCATGACAGGGCATCTCTAGGTCCAGTTGACGTCCGAGCGATCCTTGAAATCTCCTTGGGCCTGGGCGGTTGACTTATATCCCCACGATACTCTCCCCATCTGTTTCCTGGACTTCTCTTTTCGTCATCCTCTTCACCATCCACCATCACAACCCACAACCCGGGTCGTTTTTTTCTTTTCGTTTTCCTTTCTTTCTCCGCCGTCGACCGGCGTTTACCTTCCGAAACAGCTAGGCTAGTCCTGCTCACTATTTGGTTTTCGACAATAATACAGCGCTAGTCGCTTTCACATCTTACCACCACACTCCCTCTCACTTAACCCGACGACGACAAACCGCTAGACGGACGACGGTCTTTTTTTCCCATTTACCAGATCTTCAAAACACACACTCAACACAACAAAAATGCATTTCCCCAACCTCCTCCTCGCCGGGCTCGCCACCCTCTCGACAACCGTCACCGCCCAAAAAACCCACGTCGTCTCCGTTGGCTACAACGGCACTCTCGTCTACTCCCCCAACAAGATCTCCGCCCAGCCCGGCGAAGCAATCCAGTTCCAATTCGTGGCCGGCAACCACACCGTCACGCAATCGACCTTCGACGCTCCCTGCCAACCTATTGCTTCGCATAGCAATGTCACGGGGATACACTCGGGGTTCATGCCTGCCGCAGCAGATAAGAAGAACTCTAGTGTGCCGGTGTACACGGTGATTGTGAAGAACAAGAACCCGATGTGGCTGTATTGTGCCCAGGGGAAGCATTGTCAGGCGGGCATGGTGATGGTTGTTAATGAGAAGTGAGTAAACTCCCTGGATGCCGACTTGCCATGTTTGTTTGTGGATATGAAAGGGACTAACAGGGAAACCAGCACATCCGCCAACGGTACCAAGTCACTGGAGAACTACAAGGCCATCGCGAAGAAGGCTACCACCGCCGTCCCCGCCGGTACTGGCAGCGGTTCTGGCTCAGGCTCTGGCTCAGGCTCTGGTTCCGGTTCCGGTTCTGGTTCCGGTTCCGGCAGTGACTCCGGCTCGGGCTCGGGCACTGGCTCTGGCTCTGGTTCCGGCTCTGGCTCTGGTTCCGGTTCCGGCTCTGGTTCCGGTTCTGGCTCTGGTTCCGGTTCTGGCTCTGGTTCCGGTTCTGGTTCCGGTTCCGATTCTGGTTCCGGTTCTGGTTCCGGTTCTGGCTCTGGCTCTGGTTCCGGTTCTGGTTCCGGTTCTAGTTCCGGCTCTGGCTCTGGTTCCGGTTCTGGTTCTGGTTCTACCAACGGCACCACCACCACCCCGTCCAACTCGACTATCCCCAGCGGTTCTTCGACTGCTGTGCCGGTGACTGCTGGTGCGGGTATGCTCTCTGCTGCTGGAGCTACGAGCATGTTCGCGCTTGTGGCTGGTGGTGCTGTTGCTTTCTTGTTCCTCTGATTCACGAAAGTGGAGGGAAAGGAGAAGCTGAGTGGTAGATTCATACCGGAGTTGGAGTGTACGATGTTAAAGAAGGGCGTTTTCTTCGTTGTCGGCGTGCTGGCTCCTGTTTCTGTTGTCAGCGACGTTGTTTTTTGGTTTAGAGCCGGGCACTAGACTAGGTTGCTGCGAGCATATGGCTTGGTTGGTTAGATATTGCATCAAATTGAGTGTCATGATCTCTGGTATTTAATGCTGCTCGATGTTCAAACCGTCCAAACTGTACTGTGATCCCTACCTGATAAACCTGCTGTTGTCAAGAGAAATAATCAACACTGCCGCGGAGTTCCTTGGGTAGGTAACCAATTTTGTTCTGTTTTCCATATCATTACCAAAAAGAGACGTTGATGTTCTTCGTACTCACCAAGCCAATAAACAAACAATGGTCCGACGAATCCATAACCACTAGTACCAGTCCCAGTCCCAGTCCATGTCTCGAACCACTGTATCGGGAAAATAACCATCCTCTGCCACCCAGGCAGCGGCAACAGCGTGCCCTCCCCTCTCATTCTTCTCCTCCTCTCCGTATTCCACCACTCCTTTCCTTCTCGATCACACATCGTTTCTTCCACCAGATTCTCCCCCTCTTCTCCTCAGGAGTCATCTCCTAGTGCTCCTTCTTTCCATCCTCCGGCGGTGACCTAGGCGTCCTCCCCCTCCCCGCCGCCTCACACAACTTGGGCACCGGCTCCTTCTTCAACCAGTCCTTGTCTCTCTTGACATATCCCACAAACCTGTACTTCTTGCTCTTCCCGAAGAAGTTCACCCAGTGCTTGAGGCCGTCGTTGACCTTCTTCAGGGCCTCCTCCATTTCCTTCCTCTTCAAGTCCTTCAGTTCCTCTGGGCTCCAGTACTTGTTGTCCACCGCAGGGTCGTCGAGAGGAAGGAACATCTCTTCGACACCGCGCATGTCGGGGGTGCGGTCTTCGGCGAAGCAGCCGGTGACGTAAGCGCGCGAAGCGTCAACGCCGGCAAAGACGTTGTAGGAACCGCCCGGGCCGTAGGTGCGGCGATTGGCGGAGACGTCGTAGATGGTGTGGTTGATTGCGAGATAGATGGGCTTGGAAGGATCGGTGCCGTCAAAGGCGGCGAGTTCGGTGGGGGTCAGGTAGATAGGGCCGCGCTACATGACCGACTTGTTAGCTGGTACTGGATGAGGAATCGGGAAGGGAAGAATAAAGAAGGTACCAATTGGGACTTCCACCATTCTAACTGGAGGTAGTTGGGCGGGTGGGACATGCCCCAGAAGAAGGTCTCGCCATTGGAAATTAGGTAGCTTAGACCGCAAGACGCCAGAAAGAGGAAGGAGATGACGCGGAGGATGTCGAGGAGCCAGGGGTTGGATTCGTCTTCGTCTTCGATTTGACGTTTGGGGGCTTTCTTCTTCTTGCCGCCATTCTGGGAGTCGGAGTGAGGAGGGAAGCCGGGGCGGATGATCTCTTCGACCTCGGAGTCTTCTGATGCTGAGGCTGTTTCTTGGGAAGCTGTCTTGGGTTCGGGCTTGCGCCGGCGGACGGTGTCGGTGTCGGCCATGTTGACGATGTTATGGCTAGTGATATGTGAACATGCAATGCAGAAGACCAAGAGAACAGAAATGGAATGGAACTGGTGATTAATGAACAGATGTCTTGACCGGTCAAGTCCAATGGATGCGAGGCTGAAAGAATGGAAGGGTGGGAAGGAAGGAAGCTTCCGTTTCCCTTTCCAAGCTCCGGGCTAAAGTCCCCTGTTCCCAACTTCCCGATGGATATGTCATCTCGGTCGCCAATTGGGCAAAATGGGATGCAGAAAGGATGCAAAATGCAAGGCTGGCCAATAGATCCAAGGCAGGCGGGGTTCCCACGTGTTTACTGCATCTGTCAAGGTAGCGCGTCACCCAGGCAACACGGCGCATTGGAGCTAAAGCGCAGCTATTGACACTGTACATGTAAACAGACAGTAAAATACACCGTGCGGTCGCAAAGTTCCAATTTGCCCAAGGTCGTAAAAGCTGACTGAACAAGCACAAGGAGGGGCGGGCGCGAATGGAATGATTGATTACTTCATCGATACATCTGTTGTTTGTCGTACAACCTCTTCATCGAGAGCCATTTTTGTTTACAGCTTCATTACATCAGAGTGCAGTCCATCTCGAGTCATTTTGTCTTTTTGCGGAGTAAACACTGAACACTCAATGTGCCGATAGCACTGTGTCCTTGTGCTGTTGACAAACCCACCCAAGACCCGAAAAATAAACCTGGGGAACCGACAAGGGCAAGACACGGGACTGCGGCCACCTCCACGAGGCACGACACCATGGCCGCCTGACGCAAGCCTGGCTCAACCTAAACTCTTTCCACAAACATCCACTACTGCAAGGCGGAAACCAAGATCAACCCTCGATCCGCATTTGACCTTTTCGATGGTCCAAAGTCAGATGACGCAGTAGAGACTGGACCCCGAGATACCCCCTCGCGACAGTCGCACCGTCGAACGCGTCTTTCCAACCAACATTGTCAACATCAACATCGTCGACATCGAGCTATTGTCGCCCATCGCATCCATTACATCGCATTTATCCCATTGATTGCACACAACACCACCAACCATGGAAGCGTCGCCGAGTCTTCCCGACTCGCCGACCAAGCCCCCCGTCATAGGAGGCGGCGACGACCACAGCGTCAACCTCCTCACCATCAGCCCTCCCGATCCCCTACAACCCATCTCGCACAATCAGCAGCGCGAAGGTCCCTCCTTATTCTCACCCAAAGGCGGTCACGACAACTCGGTGGCCGAAAAGGTCAGCCAATTCAACTCGATGGCTCTCCATGCCAAACACCAGGAGCGCAAAACAACAGATGCCGCTCTCCAGCGCGCCGTGCTCGGGCGCGAGGAAGCAGAGGCTGAAGTGCGACGACTGCGTGAGGAGGTGAAGGTGCTGAGGCAGCAGGTTGAGGAGGGGAAGGAGAGGGAGAAGAAGGTTTCCCACAGACTGGAAGTTGTTGTGGTAAGTCTGCCCCCCTCGCCCACCATACCTCTTTAGCAGGAACTAATTGCTTCTCAACGCCCAGGAGGACTACGGTCGCGCCAAAGAATCCCTCGCCCACACGCAAGCCATCTGGGAGAAAGAGATCCGTAAAGCGCGCAAGGAGACCTTTAAAGCGCAGTCCGACATGGTCGAATTGCAAAAACAGCTCAAATCCACGCGCACCGCTTTGAAAACCGCCGAAGCGGAACTGTACACCAGCCGAGCCGCGCAAAAGGCTGCCGAAGAAGAGCTTGAGCAACAAAAGGGCCGAACACAGGCGCGCGAACAGGAAGCCATCGAAGCGAGAAATGTTTTGGCCGGACTCCAAGAACAACTCAACAAAGCGCTGGAACACATCAATACTTTGGAGATGGAAAGGGACGCATTCAAGGCGCTAGCTAAGAGCGAGGAGCTGGCACGAATTGCGGCTGAGGGAAGGATACCACTACCGGAGTCGAAAGATGTCGAAATGGGCGGCATGGAACCACTAGAACCAGAAGACGACTTCGCCGCTCTCAAGTCTTACATCCATCACACCGCCGACCTCAAACATTCCGCGACAAGCGAATCCGAAATCGAGGAAGTCAAAGAACTCTGGCAATGGGAGAAGCAGCGAGCCGATCGCGCTTTGGAGCTAATCGCCTTCATGGAAGTCGAATGCAACCTGAAGATGTGCGCCGGCGCCCGGGCAGCCACCAAGAGGCCGAGTATTGGAGGCATGGACGGCGCGAAAAGGAAGCGGTCGGAAATTAGCCCGCTCAAAGTCACGGACGCAGGGGATTTGGTGATTCTTAGGGATGCTTCACCATCGCCTTGCGCGGACAGGGTCTCGCCTCCGTCGGCTAAGAGGACGAAGACTGAGCAGCTTAGGAGCGAGAGTGCGAAGAAGTCGGGGCAGAAAAGCAAGGTCTTTTTACCAGAGCAGGGCATCTTCAGGACCGTATCACAGGAGGAGTTGGATAAACTACAAGTACCCTCCGTTCCCGTCAACGGCGCGAAAGAGCGGGAAAACCTCTACAAGCGGCAACGATACCAGCGGACAAGCGATCAGTCCTCACGCATGGCGGACTCTCGAATGGGTGAGTCACAAGCGTGGTCAGAGATGCAGGATAGTATCATGTCGAGACATCGAAGGACGCCAGATAGTGACGGTGTGCCGGACTATGTGCTGGACTCGGAGAGGGCGTCGTTGCAGAGTTTGTTGACGGCGCCGCACAAGCGGTATGCCGAGTCAATTAGCAGCGATGTGATGGGGAACATTCCTACGATTCCAGCCTCCTCGGTCATCAGCTCGGTCATGTCTGGATCAGTACAAACCATTACTGCCTCGACCGCTACGGCTACCACCAGCATCCAACAAAGCCATCTCAACTGGGAAGAGCCCAAGCTTTATACCAGCAGCCAACAACAAAAAGAAAACGTACCACCCCCTCAACCGAAGGAGAACGAGGGAGCAGAAGGGGATAGGACTAACTCCCGCACCAGCCACGATAGCCAGAAGTCACAACCGTCAATCCGCAAAGTGACTCCCTCGCCACAACCACCCACCCACACTCCGGGACCCGCCTCACGACATGTCGACCACCTCTCCGAGTCCAAGCTAGGCTACTCGCCCTCCAGCCTAGCGCACGCATCGATGTTTGGATCTACCATGAATTCAAGCACCATCACGACCAAGGTTCCTCTCAAGGAAGCGTCTACCAACGCAGACCTGGGCAGGATGTTCAGGACTCCTTCAAAGGGAAGCTTCGCTAGTGTCACTAGTGAGAATGCAATGGACATCGATGGCGACATTAACGTCACCAAATCTCGGTCCGAATCGCGGGGAGAACTCCCCGTATCAAGAGAAGAAGCCCTCGCCATGATCCGCGAGCGCCGCGAACGCGGCAGAAGCCGCGAAATCAAATCCCGACCTCAGTCCCCCGAGAAGCGACCCCTCTCTCCAGCAAAACGTCCCGCCTCGCCCGAAAAGCGGCCAGCCAGCCCCGACAAGAGGGACAGAGGCCGGGACCCCACCCCCAAGAAACGGGATGCCTCGCCGAACAAGCGCGCGCCATCACCGAATAAGAGACCCGAGTACCCCAGCAAGCGCGCGCCCTCCCCGAACAAGCGGAACGCTTCACCTACCAGACGACCACTATCGCCGAGCAAGCGCACGCAGTCTCCGAGCAAGGCGAGGGTCGTCAGCAATGACCTGAGCTACGCGAATGCTCTTAAGAAGAGCACCGACGTGATGACGCCTGGCGAAGGAACTAGGAGCTTTAGTGCGCCTACGGCGGCTACGGAGGCGAGGGCGGCGGGGAAGGAGAATCAGAGAGGTTTGAAGTCTTAGTGGGACGGATTTGCGAAGCTGACTCCGGGAAGGAAGGGGAGGAGGAGTGGGTTGTAATTTGTGAGAGGGGCTGGGTATGAAAGTCCTGTCTTCAGAGGCTGTAAGGGTGTTGGGAATCCAAGAAGGAACTGAAGTTGAGTGTTCAGGGTTGGAGGAATGAGGAATGTGGGGAATGAATGAGTATAGAAGATGGGGAATTGTATACCTCTACAGTGGAGGTGGTTAGAAAGAGAAGGTTTGTATACCCACCACTGACTGACTGACTCTCTTTGGACTGTGCAAGTGCAGTGGTCTGTCTGTCTGTCAGTAACACTGGCAGTGTTGGATAATGTCGATTATTTGTACATGGAATTAGTAACTATCAAGTGCATCAAAACTGGATGGGCTGGGATACCTGGATACTCTCAGGCTGGACTGGATACGGAATACCTCGGTTGGTTGGCTTGGATGGCGGCAAAACTGGTTTTGATTCTTGCACTTATTCTCTTCTTCGTTTTGTCCTGTTAATGAATGGACTTTGTATTTATGCAGTCTGGTGTCGGATGGCGTGTCAGCGCCTTTTTACCTCTTCTACCTTCGTTGTTATTCGTTTATGGACTTCACAACGGTTCATTGAAGTACATCCATCCGATTCTGGACACTATATCTGGTATTACTTACTCTTGTCTCCGATTCAACGCTGGCGCTTTTGCCCATCTTGTGATCCGTAGAGGTAAATGGTAACCGTGAATGATGGCAATTAAGTAACCGATGATGTTTTTACTTGAACTTGTCTAGGGAGCCATGAGAGTTTTTGAGACCAGGACGACGGGAGATACGGTAGAGATAGTCATACGCGGTCGAAGTTGTGGAGATAAATAGCTGATATGTTGGAGATTTTCCCTCGAGGAAACATCTGGTATGAGCATTCGTAGGTAACGTGGAAAACAGGGGGAGAACTGTTGAGCGACGACATACTTCCAACTATCAAGTTGCTATGAGGCCTTACCAGCATTGATAAAAGTAGTGGCAGCGAAATCTTGTGCGAATAATCTATACAACAACAAAGTTCCTGCTCTGGACAAATACTCTTAACAGTGTCCTTATGGACCAACACTTCAACCCTTCTCCCCTCTCGTCACCCTCCTCCGCTTGCTCGGATTACTATTGCTTCCACCAGCAGTCTCGGCCTCCGTCGCCGTCCCTTCTCCATCCGCTTCCTCATCTACCTTCCCATCCCCTGGCGCCTCCCCCTCCTTATCGCCAACCATCGATACATCACCATCCTTGTCTTTCTCCTTATCACCGTCACCAGAAGGCTTCTCCTTTTCCTTCTGCTCTTCAGCCTTCTCACCACCCTTACTCGTCTGCCTAGAATGATTTTGACTTCCATTCCCCGGCATCTGCAGCGTCCCATCCTCCATCATCGTCTTGATCCTCCCGTCCTCCGCAACCCTCAAGTCCGCCAACAGCGAATCAGCCTCGGAAAACATTGCCCTCGCGTCTTTGACCACGCCGAACTCGTCAACCTTGTATCCCAGCACATCCCCCGGATGACCGTGGCCGTGCCCACCTGCCTGATTGTTGTCATCGGTCCTTTCCTCTCTTTCCGCTAGGAAGGAACTCCCAGGCCCGTGCCAGCGATCGGGATTGTACATGATCGCGTTGCTGAACATGTGCGCCAGTTCGCGATCCAGCTGGGCCGTGTTGATGATGCCCCTGGGGGGAACGAGCTCTTCCATTTGCGGCAGGTGGACGAGCATATGTCCCGGGTCTCCTCCCGGTAGGGCGGCGGCGGCTTGGGTGGCGGAGCGGTTGCCCTGAGCGATGGCGGCCCGGATGGATTTGAGGTCTTGAGGCTGCAGTATCACCTTATGATAACCGGGAGCGTCTTTCTCGCGGATGGGCGCGGCAAACATGTTGGCGGAGCGGTGGCGGACGATTTGTTCCATGGCAGAGGCACTGACTTTGTGGAAACCGCGGCTCCAGAGGACTCTGTTTGTGTCCGGTGGTGCCGCTGACGCCGTCGCTGGCGCTTCTGGTTCGGATTTTTCGTTGGCAGGGGTTGCGTTGCCGTTGGGAGTGGCTTCGGCGGGAGTGGCAGCGGGAGTGGGTGATAGCTCATCCCGTTTACGCTTCGCTTGACGAGCTGCTTGACGTTTACCAGCCCCACTTTCGTCTGCTGTCGTATCACCCGTGTCCATCGTAGCCTGGGGCGTGTCCACCTCATTCTTAACACTGGTGGCTGGCTCAGGCTCCTTGACAGATTCTTTAGCAATTTCCTTCGCTGTGCTGGGTTGTTCAGGAGCGGCTGGTTTATCCACTGGTCTCGATACCTTCTGAGCTGCTTGCTGACGAGCCTGTGACGCCGGAGTAGGTTGGGGACCAACGAGAGGGACGCTTCCTCTAGGTCTGGACGCTTCATTCGTCGGCTGCCGAGCCGGAGAAGGTCTGGCCGGCTCTTGTCTGGCCGTTGGCAAAACTGCAGGCTGCTGTACGGGACTAAGCGGCTCAAACGCAGGAGGCCGAATCTCATCACCACCAGATCGGACATCAGGTAGCTTGGGGGTAGACGCACTAGCTGCAGACACCCACTTGGTGCCACTGCCGAGGCCCAATTTCGCGGGAGGTACCAGAGTAGTCTGAGTGACCGAAGCAATGGGACTGAACCTGGGTCCGGAATGAGTTGTCGCGGCAGAATGTGAGCGTGGCCTGTGTTGTTGGATCGGGGGCTGTGGTTGTTGTTGTTGTTGTTGCGGTGGATGTGGTACGTGCGGCGCATGGGTGACCGGCGGCTGAGGAGCATGAGTGATCGGGGGGATCCGCGGTGATTGAGCTTGGGTAACCTGGGGCAGGGCAGCTTGCGGTGGATGCGGTAGATGTGGCGTCGGATGAACCTGTGGTGCCCGAGGAACATGAGGTTGAGGAGCCTGTGATACTTGGGGCACCTGAGGAACTTGGGGGGCCTGAGGCGGATGGGCCTGAGGCGGGTGCGCCTGCGGTTGGTGTGGATGCGATACTTGCGGCGGATGTGCCTGTGGTGGATGAGAAGCCTGTGGCAACTGAGGTGGGTATGGCGAAGGGTAAGCCCTCTGTACCTCCGACTGGATAGGCGCCAAAGACGGCGACGGGGCCATAGACGTCGTAACCGGCTGGCTGAACGGCGGAGGAGCCTGTAGCGCCTGGGGTTGATGTTGAGGCGACTGCTGCTGTTGTGGCTGCAGCGGCGGAGGCGATTGTTGCTGCTGAGGGGCAGCCAACCCATGAGTAAGTCTCGGAGGAATCGCAGACGGCGATTGCGGCGGCGAAGAAACGGCAGCACCCTGCTGTAAATGCTGCGGAAGATGATATGGAGGATAGGGCGAGGGATGCTGCTGGAAAGTAGCCCTGGGTATTCCCGTAGCCGCAGTAGAAGCCAACGGTTGCCGAACAGGACTCGGACCAGGTGAGTCGGACATGGACCTAATAGGTGCCGGCTGCAAAGGAGGGGCATAGTGTTGACCAGTCTGAGGAGGTATCAAGACCTGCGGCTTCATAGGCGGCGGCTGGGGTGGCCTTGATACCACTGGATGTTGCTGTATCTGCTGAGGTGGCAGATGCGAAGGCAGCCTAGGCGAGTGCAACGGCTGGGGAGATTGTGGTATAGGGCTGTAGTGGGGATGTTGCTGTCCAGGGCCCAGGATAGGACGATGCCCAGCTTGTGGTTGATATGGAGGCTCCCATTTGAGTTGCCCACCCTGTGCCTGTCCAGGGATCGGAGGTTGTGGCTGGGGGAGAGTAGTTGCAGGGTGATGAGCAGTCGGAAGAACCGGAGACTGTCTCGAAGGCCCTGTCACGCCGTCCAGTCGTGGCAGTCCTCCGGTAGGAGTAGAAGGTTTGGGTGGCTGAGGTGGTTGAGGAGGCGCCTGGGAAAACGAAACTGGTGGTTGAAGGACATGTGGTATCCCACCGGCAGTCATAGGCCTTGGAGAACCTGGACCGGACGTAATCGGACCCCGAGGAATGTTGTGATGTCCCAACCGCGGAGAGCTAACTAGTTGTGGCTGTAAAGCCGCCGTTGTAGTCGGAGGTAGAGTCGCAGGCAGCGTAGTAGGAGGCAACGAAGCGGGACTCGACCTGACTGGTGGTAGCTGAGTCGTGGGAGAAGGAACGCTCGCATGACGAACGACTTCGGGCCGTGGCGGTATATGAGCGGATACCTGGGGCGGAAGCTGCGGTGGAATCGGCGGTTGCTGCTGTTGTTGCTGTTGTTGCTGTTGCTGCTGCTGCTGCTGCGGCGGCGGCGGCGGCGGCGGCGGAGGCGTGGGTATCGGTAGCTGGGGAGTTGAAGGAGTACGGGGAGACTGAGTTTGCGGAGGTGGTAGTCGTGGTGAAGCAATACGTGGCGAAGCAACTGGCGAAGGACCGTGACCGGCGCCGTTAGGTAACCTAGCTCCCGGTCCCTGAACCGCAACTGGACTGGGAACCGGACCCAAAGCCGGACTCGGCTTATGTGCCACGGGACCGTCCTGAGCCGGTACGCCATCTGGAATCTTTTGCCTCCTCTCCTGCTCCTCGTCCCGAGCAACTGCCTGCTCTAGTACCCGCACCTCAGTCTGAACGCGGTCATAGTGTCTCTCGTACTGATCGATCTCCTGGAGAGTCTGGTTGACGTAGGTCTGCTCGAGTTTCCGGTAAAGGCTCTCGATCTTGGGCACATACTGGTGGGCCTCCCTCAGAGTTGGCAGCGGCGGGGGCTGCAACCGTCGCCTTTTAGAGTTCGGAGACAGACCACCATCGGGTTTGGGACCTGGAGTGTCGTGCTCTTGCTTCAGCTCGTCCCACAGCAGGTGGAGGAAGAGCTCCTGGAGAGGCTCGGGCCTCAGTCTCGCGGCATCGTAGGAGGGAGCAGTCTTGATGAGGCGGTTTTGCTGAAGGACGTCGGCGATGCGGTGGAAGGCCTGCTGGTCGAGACCGTGTTTGGCGATGCCGCGGAGCAGGAACAGCGATTCGAGGGGAGTGTAAGCGTCGCGGCTCGTGGTAGTCATGCCCCAGACTCCACCTCGCCGGAGATCGAGGGGACTGTCACGCCGTTGCGGAAGAAGGTGAATCGGCGCCACGATCTGTCAAAGAGATTAGTCAGTGACTGTGTCAAGTAAAGTATTTGGTAGGTATGTGTTGTGGTGGTGATGATGCATCATGGTCGCATTTCTTGAGCTTGGAGGTTTTGACATCAAATGCACCAAAATGCACCCCTCCAGGGCCAACCACTATAACCAAGCCACTAAACACGATGCAGCACCCCCCGCTCACGCGTCGCACTTTGGGAGTCGCGTCTTCCAGATCTTGACATACCGGCAGCCTTTATCCAACACGCCGGGCAGCGATTTCAATTTGGATAGATGCGAATCAGGTCGTCGCATGTGGTTGTATGAAGCCCTCTTTCGGTTGCGAAGATGACTTCTCGACAAATGTCTGTTTGCGCGGACTTGGAAATCGATGCCGATGACTTTTTTTTCGGTCGGTCGCAAAACCGCAAATTGCTCTGGTTGGTTATCACGTGTGATCGCTCGTCTATCGGCGGTCGGTTCGTGGCCTGTCGTGTAAAAGTGTTGGTCGCTTGGCTGAAAAACAAAAGGTGTCGGTGAATCTCGATTTACTGTGGGCGAATGACTTGAAGCTGTCGTCCCGTTGGATCGGAGAATTGCGTGTCACTACTTACTCAGTCAGTGCTCGACGAATGCAACGCAATCAATCCATTTGCTGGGGTAAAGAGCTGCTCTTCTGGCTGTACGAAATAAGCTGCATCCAAGGTTGAGCTTGGAGTATATCTTGTACAGGAAAAGTAGTCGTACCACGTGACTCGGCTCCGAAAGACAGGAACCCAGGGGGTCCTCATCGGCCTGGTCATGGTCTCCGCCCGGCGAGATCTCCGGGGTGTGGGGTCTTCCCCGAGAGCCCGGGAGCATCCGGAGATTCTGGGGGTGCGCTCCGGCCCACGTTTCAGCCTTGAATAAGATGTACATTAGACCATGACTGGATCAGTACCTGCTTGTACCACCATGCATTGTCTGGTTTCACTTTGACTGAAAACGGTTAAGAACCTGATCTTTGAAGCGCTCTGGAGCTATTTGTCGCTAAATAATGGGGTTTGTTTAATGGCGATGGACCTCACCATGTAACTATCTAGATGAGTTCTGGGTATCGATTATTAGGGCTATATAAAAGGGACGTACCTCCTGGGCCCACCTGGTCCCGCCCGCGCAAGCGCGGGCGAAACCCATACGCGACCCACGCGCGCGTGGCTCAACGTGGCGCGCAACGTGGCGCGCGCTGTGGCGTATGAGGCTCGTATCGTATATATATTGTTTAAAATAGTTAAGATTTAAAAAACCGTTCTTTTCCCTTTCTAGTAGTATATTACACGTGATTGTTACGCGTAACTCATTCTAGGTTCGCGTCTTTGAAAATTTTTGTATTGTATATACATTATAAATGATAGTATTGAAAATTTTAGAAAGAAGAGAGGGGAAGGGAGTAAATAAGTAAAAGAAATAAATATTTTTATTAACGGTTTTATAGCTTAATAGTAAATACGTTAGTATTATACTGTTGAGGTCGTTAGTTCGATTCTTATTATTACCATTTATAAGGGGCTAGCGCCCAGAGGTCGAGCCTGGCTGCAAGCCAGAGCTATGGACCTTTAATAGGACCTATAGACCCGCTTACTTGCCTGCCTCCTAATTAGCCAAGCTTCTAATATATAAGTATCCTTCCAACCTAACCGAGCTTATAAGACCTCTTCTTCTTCTTTATCAACAATCTCAAACTTTATTCTACTCCTACTACCGTATATACCTAATAGACCCGTAATATATTATTAACCCTCTTCTTTAATACCCTCCAAACCTTTCTACTCGTTCATATAAGAGAGCTACGACCGTCTATACGATTTCTTTACCGTACTCAACTTTTTCGTTTTCTTTACTCTACTATAACTTCTATCCCTTAAGCTTAGATTACTAACGAAAGGCAATAATAATTCGCTATAATTATTCAATCTTTAGTTGACTAAATAATTGAATTTAAAGCTTTCTAATCTATAGTTGTTCCCCTCGTTATAGCCTCTCCTTATTAACCTAAACCAATCCTTCTCTATTTAATTAAATCTTTTGGGGAGAATTTAGATTTCGATACCTAACTTTATATTACCGAAGTAAAACTCTATATCAATAGTTTAGTTATTAGTAATTTAAAAGCCTAATTTTATTATTTCTATTCTAGCCTTTTACCCCCTATTTAAAAAAAAACCCTTCTTTCCTTTGCCTAATAGCTGACGAACTATTTATTAGTAAAGCTACTATAGAAACTCTATAAGTCCTACGACGAGACGAATTCTAATAAACGTACAGCCTAAAAATTCTTTAAAACTTTATAAGCTTAAAACGAAGTAATTAAAATATTCTTCCTCTATTTTAATAAAGTCTTTGACCGAATCTAGAATGATTTGATAAATAATTTAAAGTAGACTTTTCTTATAGGCAATTTAAATAAAGAATAGCGAATAAGGTTGAAGGAAAAGACGGACGTTCTTAAGGATTTCGAAACTCTATAAGGATATCTCCGACATTTAGATAATAATAATTATTTAAGAGATATTATAAATACTAGGGATCCTATATAAATCGGCGCTATAAAGATATTTAAAGCTATAAGATACAGTAATCTATTTAGAGCCTCTAACTCCGGCTCTAAGATTATCCTTAAATAACAATAACGTTGGAAGAAGAAGAACTACTATATAAACTATAACTCCTAAGCGTATTAGGAAAGGAATGCCCCATTAATAAAAATAAAAGTAAGGGTAAAGCCGCTATACAATTATATAATATATTTATTAAACCGGTTAGAGATTTTAATAATAATAAAATTCACAATAATTACAAATAAAAACCGCTTAGAGAAGTTAAAAACTCGGTCCGGAAATATTATAATTAAGAAAGGGTTAAATAATATATATAATATACCACTCGTTAGGGGGGCCAGCTAACCTAGACCTAGCTTTACGGATTCCCTAGATTTAATTAATAACCTTTATAATAACTGATATAAAGTTATAATAAATTATAATATATAATTATAATTACCGCGAAGAGAAATCATTTAGTTACTACTTTATAAATATAAACAGTAAAAATTATATTAAATTATTCTATTAAAGCCTCGTTATTTATTTAAGGAAGTTATAAATTATCGACCGGATAGTATAATTGCCGGTAACGTTCTAAGTAGGATAAATAGGACGAAGGTTTATACAGATAGATAGAATTAAATTATGTATAATAGTCTAACCGCGTATATATATACTATAAGTAATAAGGTTATTAGTTTTTAGGGGCTTGGTTTTTATAATAAGCATATAATATACATATAAATTTTACGCTAACTATAGAAATCTAATTATCTGCATTATTTTATTATTATACTTTAGTCATTTAGGGTATTTGATTTAGGAATATTCAATAGAAACTCTACAATATAAATAAAAGGCCGCTTATTAAATTCTGAGGATATTTCTCTATATATAATAATTTTCATTATTATCTTTATTTATAAGGGGGAATTGGGGGGTAATATAAAGGGCTAGCGCCTAAAGGTCGAGCCTAGCTACAAGCCAAAGCTATAGACCTTTAACAGGGCCTATAGACCCGCTTACTTACCTGCCCCCTAATTAGCTAGGATTCCAATATATAGGTATCCTTCCAACCCAGCCGGGCTTGCAGGACCTCTTCTTCCCCTTTATCAACAATCTCAAGCTCTGTTCCACCCCTACTGCCGTGCACATCTAGTAGACCTGTGACACCGTTTTTTTTTGCGTGGGTAAGGTTTTACCTTGGGAATTTCTTTTTCTAAGTTAAAATAAGACAAATAATTATTTTCTTCTTCCGGTAGTAAGAATAAAATTCTATGAAAAAAATTTTTTGATTCTTTATAGTTATAATATTATTAAAAGTATATAGGGTAGTTTAATTATATATTTTATTGGGTTTAAATTTTAAAATAACGGTTTTAAAATAAGAATGTTAAAAATGAAAAAGAATATTTGAAACTTTGAATGCAAAAAATTATAAGATTGTCAAAATGATAGATAAAGATTAATAAATATTTCTTTTTTTATATATTATAATAAGGTAAATAAAACTTTCGATTTTATACTTTTATTTTACTATTATTTTACTTAATATAATACGTATGATTATGAAAATAATTTATAAATTACTAATTTCTCTTTTATATTCGAACTTAATACTTTTATACTTTATTTATTTATTATTTTATTATTATATTACTTTACTACTTTATTAATTTCTTTATTTAATTAATTACTTTATTACTTTATTTATATATTGGCTGCGGCAGCTAATTTGGTTAGGGGAAGGTAATTTACTTATTTAGTATTTAAATCAATTGCCTTATTATATTATTTATATATTAGCCGCGGCGGCCAACTTAAATAAAAGAAAGTAGTTTACTTACCCGGCACTTAAATCGATTATTTTACTACTACCTTATTTATATATTAACCGCGGCGGCCAATTTAGTTGGAAGAAGGTAATTTACCTACCTAGTACTTCAATCGATTACTTTATTACTTTCTTTATATATTAGTTATAGTGGCCAATTTAGTTGGGGGAAGATGGTTGATTTACTTAGTATTTAAATCGATTATTTTATTATTTAATTTATATATTAGCCGCAGCGGTTAATTTAGTTGGGGGAAGGTAATTTATTTACCCAGTATTCAAATTGATTATTTTATTACCTTATTTATATATTAGTTATAGCAGCTAATTTGGTTGGGGGAAGGTAGCTTACCTACCCGGTATTCAAATTAACTACTTTATTACTAACCGCGGCGGCCAATTTAATTGGAGAAAAGTAATTTACTTACTGGGCACTTAAATCGATTACCTTATTATTAATTATAGCAGTTAATTTGGTTGGGGATTTGTTATTGGTCGTAGTAGCCAATTTAATTAGGAGAAGGTAATTTACCTACTTAGTATTTAAATCGATTACCTTTACTTTATTTATATATTGGCCGCGGCGGCCAATTTAATTAAGGGAAATTAATATAAAAGTACGATGGGAAATTAAATTTAATAGCTGTAAATTAACTTTTAAAATTTCCTATACAAATAAATTTTACAGAAATTTAAAAGTCGCGACTTAGACCGTCGGGTTATATTTTCTTTAAATTAATAATCGTAGAGTATATAAAAAGAGAGGGTAAGAATAACCGGCTAAAATAGGAACGATTAATTAAGGTAAGAACGATTAGCTAAAGTAAGTAAAAGGGATTAATTATATATAGTGTCGCTTATAAGGTCGTTTATAAAGTTTAATTAGAAGGTTATATACTATAGGGTATTATATATAATTATATATAAGAGCGTTTAAAAGGTTTAATTAGAAGGTTATACACTATAGGATTTTATATGATTATATATAGAAGTATTTAAAAAGTTTAATTAGAGGGTTATACGCTAAAGGATTTATACGAATGTATATAAAAGCGTTTAGAAGGTTCAATTAGAGGCTTATACGCTATAGGGTAGCGTATACAATTATACATAGGGGCGTTTAGAAGGTTTAATTAGAAAGTTATATACTATAAGGTTATTCAAAGGTTTTATTAAAGGATTAAATTCCATAAAGCCGTTATAAGAGAGCTATTTAGGCATTTTTAAGTACTTTTCCGTAGGGCAAATTATAGGATCTATATAATAATAAATTTAAATTTGTAATAATTAGTTTCTGGTTCTAATAAATAATAATAAATAAAAGTTTATAATTTATTTTTAACTTTTTTAATAGCTTTAAATTTTTATTCTATGCTTTTTTCTATAGGAGGGTTATTAGGGCGTAGCTTTAATATTTTCCTACGGATTTTTTATTTATGAAAGGGTTATTAGGGCGTAGTTTTAATACCTTTTTATAATTTTATAATTGTTTTATAACTTTTATTAACTATAGAAATATATATGATTATATTAGGGATTAAAGTATAAATTACCTTCGGATTAGTATTCTTACTTTTATATTAAATATAGGAAGGATATTTTTGGGTTTTCTTTTTTATAAGAAAATTAATTTAAGCCGAAGATTCATAGTTTTACTATAAATTATTCTAATATCATTCTTCGAGCGGTATTTAAAAAGATTTTATAATAGGTTTTATTTTTAAAATTAGTAACATTAATTAGATTTATCGATAGGTTAC